CGGTCTAGTTAGGCGGAATGTAACGTATGATATAGGTGTACGTCGGCGAGACAGAATGTAAGTTGGTCATACTTTGAGTTGGGAAGAATATGACGTAGGGCAGGTATGACGTAGGCATATTTGGATGAGTGAGTGAGTTAAACTTTAACGTCGCATCAGCGAATCGCGACGCCTAAGACGACTGGGCCATCCGTGCCCCCAGAATATTAAGAATAGACTTGCTATTAAACAACGACACAATATAAAGCTACGTCATATTTGGATGAGTGAGTGAGTTAAACTTTAACGTCACATCAGCATTATTTTAGCCTTGTGGCGACGAACATTTGGATGAAGACAAAAGGTGTTACAATGCAATAGTTTGTTTTTTTGTGATGATGATTGTACATACATGCGAAATCGTGTTGTAGGCACATTTAATTTGTCTGTTACAACGCGAACACAGCATTGACGCCCACACAAAGCCCGTCTCCAGGACCTAAATCCCTCTCGACACAAAGAGGTGTGCACACCCCCACACACGTCGGTGGCTGTTGGTGCGATGGTACTCCGTGGTTCTCACCTGATCCCTATAACATAAGGGCCTCACGTTGGACGTCAAAGAACACGGACACCTACACCGTTCAACTTTTATAAGGGATATTCCAGATTAGGGAAGAATTTAATTGGATGCTTTAAATGGCAAATAGTATTCAATATTGCCATGAGAATGACACATTTCCATCTTTGTTTTTAATGAAAATAACTGCACACGACTAGGAGTAGTTATCCAATATGTTCAGCTTCCCAATCAAGGTGAGGTGAAATGGGGTTTAACGTCGCGTCTACGATTGTTTCACTTACATAGCGACGGGCATGCACGTGTGTGTGTGTGTGTGTCTGTATGTCTGTGTGTGTACAAGTCAGGACCAATGTCTGTTTTATGCTACCCCACTGAGATACCATGCCGCAGTTCAACATGAATACCCCACTCAGACACAGTATACTGACTCCGAGCCGACCAGCCCTTGTTTTAGCCCCTTAATGCCGAGCGCCAGACAGGGTAACAACAAGTACCATCTTTTGACATATTTTGGTATGACGCGGCCGGGGATCGAACCCCTGACCTTCCGCTCTCCGGGTGGGCGCTCTACCACTAGACCACAGAGGCGATGTCGCATCCCAATCAAACGTTGAGTGGTATTTTATAGGAATGCACAATGGGATATGGATTTTCCTGGGGCAGTGACGCAAGGTGATTTCCCCACACTACAATCATGGTTTGGATAACGGAAATCCTTACATACTACTCCCACAATTCAAATAAACACAGGGGCGGTCGGGTAGCCTAGTGGTTAAAGCGTTCGCTTGTCACGCCGAAGACCTGGGTTCAATTCCCGACATGGGTACAATGTGTGAAGCCCATTTCTGGTGTCCCCCGCCGTGATATTGCTGGAATATTGCTAAAAGTGGCGTAAAACCATATTCACTCACTCACTCAAAGGAACATAACGTTTCGGATTAATAATCACCTATCAGCGCCGATTATCAGTTGACTTCCCTCGTTAGTTTCCACCTTTGTTATCTAATTACTTTTGTTGTTCTAACATGTACATTTATATGTTCTCTGCCTCATGGCATTCATTCACCTGATGAAGGTGTAAGCACATACTCCGAAACGTTGTGTTCCTCATAATAAAGAAGTTGACATCCATAAATTATCTTCTTTATGTGTATCACTTCTAAATGCCTTTCAAAGACTTAATGGTGACATAGTCAAAATTCTCAAAGCTAACGTTCGTGTACCTCTACGCAATGTATACTGCTATTTTGTCAAAGAAAAGGAGAAAGGTAGATCCCTATCAGTTATGGCAGACTATATCAGACAAATATATCACATTGGCAATAAAAGGAAACTCGTAAGGGCCGTCTCAAAGCAGAAAAGTAGAATTCGTGCCAGATAGTTTTGATATGAACGGGTTATTAGAACGCAGAATTTCATCAACTTGTGAAACGATTCAGATTGAAATAAAAGATTCTATAAACGCCTCCAGTACTACAAAACTACTTGCCTAAATTGAATTGGGTTCAAATACACTTAGCATAGTGACGATAGGGCAAGATGAAAATTCGGTTTTCAATGTGTGTACCTTGATGAAACATGGGTAAATAAAAATCACGCTACAAATAATAATAATTTTAATAACAACAACAGTCTATTTATATTGCACACATTTCCACACAACTCGGGGGCAAGCTCAAAGTGCTATTATTACCCTAGTCACTGGATCAGTGTGCACTCAAGAATCATTCTCAGCTCCCTGGGGAGTATACAACCCATGCTGCCTGTTAGACGCTAGAGGGTTAACAACTACCAGGTACCCATTCACTGCTGTATGTGGCTACCATCCGACGGCAACAGGCACCTATCCCTGTTCTGTCATCTGGCAAGGGAAGGCGTGTCATCGTCCCGGATGCCGGATCTCACGCCAAAGGTCTGTGACCAACTCTTTGAGGCCAAGGAATCGGAGAATGATTACCACGGAGATCAGTATTCCTTAATGGTTTGAACATAAGCTCCTTCTAAACCAACAAATTCGAAACAACATATTTGTTTACATCTCCAAGCAAATAAATTCCACAAAGTTAACATCGTATTTGGCAGTCTTATGTGATGTCTCCTAAACCAATACAAACCGACATGCTGTTGTAACTCGCGTCTAACCATCAGTAGCCACAAAAGCGAATGTCATCTGGCAAGGGAAGGCGTGTCATCGTCCTGGATGCCGGAACTCACGCCAAAGGTCTGTGACCAACTCTTTGAGGCCAAGGAATCGGAGAATGATTACCACGGAGATCAGTATTCCTTAATGGTTTGAACATAAGCTCCTTCTAAGGATGGATACCCAAAACGTGACAGACGAATGATGCGAGTTACCATCACATCCGCGAACCAAACAACATAACGCAGCATACCAGGCTGACGAATGTCAAGAGTTTGTCAGATGTGTTTTTGTCATCTTGTTGCAATATGAACTCTGTCCTAAAGACCAACGTTGGATTTTTTGTGGGAGGGAGAATGCTGCTTCAACGTACGCACTGTTTTCCTGGACACCCAGGATGTACACCGATCAATTACATCTGTGTTTGCTAGGTCCGTATTTGTGAGATTTATGTTTGTGAGATATGTGATTGTGCGATCTGTGTTTGCAAGGTCTGTGTTTTGTGGTGTGTTGGTAGTGAGTGAGTGAGTGAGTGAGTGAGTGAGTGAGTGGTCTTCGGCGTGACGAGCGAACGCTTTAACCACTAGGCTACCCGACCGCCCCGTGTAGGTAATGATTATGACTTCTCATTGTGTTTGTGAGATTTTATATAATAAAGTGCTTGAGAGCTTGGATTGTCTATTCGTATGTACACTATTTTTGCTAGGACTATGTCTGTTGATTTTGCTACTTTTACCGATTGTGACCACAACCCCCTCCATGATATTGTCTTGAATCGGCTGACAACCTGACTATGAAAGTAGCGACTGGGGGCCGATCGAACCAACGAGAACTTGTCCGGGGAAAGGTAGATAACTCTTGTATGACATCAAAGAAACTTACGAAACTGAATCTATCGAATGGGAAAGACAACAATAAGAGGTCAGCAACGAGTGTTTCAAACCTACACCTAGAGCAACCAGCACAACACCCATGTATTACTTTATCAAGGCAATGGTGCACATTCTGTTTATATCACAGAGAGTGAGTGAGTTGGGTTCAACGCCGCTTTTAACAGTATTCCAGTTATATCACGGCGTGTCAGCTTAATGTGGGAGGAAAGCCCGGAGTGATGCAGGTCTCAGACGTTTACCACTTCGGTGAAACCCGAGAGCACGGGTATGGTGCTGACAAACCTAGAAACATAATCGGTGCGAACCGGGATTCAAACCCACAATCATAGGTTTCTGGCTCGCCAAAGGAACGTACATCACAATTAAGTTGGTCAGACACACCAAAGTGGGGAAAAAGAATGTGATCATCTTCCGAACCTAAACTCGGATGCATGTATAAATACAGCGTTGTATTTCACAATTAAGAGCAATCGTGTTTTTATTCCATTAAAAAGTCACTATAGATGATGTCAATAACATAAGAAGTCAACGGGACCCGTGCGACGTCATGACGTCACGTTTTCACTATCATCTGATAACTTGACTTGACGTCCAACACTCCGGTGAGAAGTTCTTACATGCATAATTTAGACTACTGATATCTACAATTAACTGAGAATGTTATATTTCATTTCCACTGACTTTATAAACAGAGAATCTCACCCGAGTGTCTTTTGATATCAAATATATCAACGATTGAATGTAGATATCGCTTGATATCACCCAAGCGATATCTCCCGTGGGAGCCAGTTTTGGATGATGATAACTGTTCTGGAAATGTTTTTTATGTTGTTTTTGCATTAACCACATGTTATATACACATGTCGTTTACGCATAATTATTAATATATCTATTCCTACATATACTTGTACCACCTCCACATTAGTGAATTACGCCACAGGCGATGAAATAATATTCCCACGTACATTTAAAAAAATATATATGTTATCGAATTTTATGAATGGAAATTATGAAGCACTGGTGATATGGACTTGGGACACCGTATCCTAAAAAATATTCAACTTTCACAAAATGTTGATGAACATCTACAAAAACCAACAAATTCGAAACAACATATTTGTTTACATCTCCAAGCAAATAAATTCCACAAAGTTAACATCGTATTTGGCAGTCTTATGTGATGTCTCCTAAACTAATACAAACCGCCATGTTGTTGTAACTCGCGTCTAACTATCAGTAGCCACAAAAGCGAATGTCACCACAATAGCAGGACTTAACCTAACGTGCCAATCTCCACATCATGTGACGCGCCAGTGTTCAAGGTTAAACAGAGGCACGTTCGTGAGCCAACGTCGTCTCTCGTGCCCCGGCCCGTCCCCGTAGCATTAGCTTGTTGGGCCGCGAGACAAGCAAGCGTTCATATGACGGGACAAGCCATCTCCTCGTCAGACGCTGTGTTCGGTTGAGCCAGCACACATCGTACCTTTGGCTGTCTCTGGTGTTGACCCGCTGTCATGAAGGACTACTTCCATCCCATCATCTGTCTGTTTGCTCTTAACTATCTCTCTACACCACTTAACGGTAAGATGTGTTCAACGTTATTAATAACGTCAACTGACGTTGAATTTTCAACGTTGTGATGCGCTCATTGTTTAACTTATAACCTATTTGAAAATTTGTTGTGCGAATTGGACCTTGGCAATTCATGTAAAATTTAAGGTGTAAATGTATATTATGAAACATTGGGACATTTTACATTATGATTAATATTATTTTTGTTAAGCAACGATATCACGTAATGATTATTTGAATTCTACTTTCAATATCACTTCATGCGCTTGTTTATGTTATCATATGATTTGGTTGTATATCTATTTACCCTTTTATCATTTTTGATTGAGTCTGTCATTATTGTCTTGATTCACATACGATTATTTATCAAAACAATCAATACTATTTCTAAACATTTGATGTTTAGAAATATGGAAATTATTTTTGTTATCGGATACCACAACCATGTTCAAACTGGCAATCTGCTTGATATTGGCCTCGAACTTCAAACATTAGTATTTATTTGTTTCATTTTATATGTAAACTTTTCTTTTTGTGTGGGTAGACACCCAGTCCACTGTATAAACTAGTTTCCAACAACGTGAATCAAGGGAAAAACTCACGTCGCCCCCCTGTGTTGAAGGCAAAGATTAACCCACAACGACCACGTTGTTTAGACAGAGTGACTCGGGGAATAAACACGAGGCGTGTGGCCAGAAAGAGACATTTGTAGAAACACAACCAATATTTGCCTATCAGTTAGTCCTAATCCCTTCCTATAATGTCTCGTTAGGGCCACGTTCTTCACAAAAAGCGGCAGCAAAAGTAAAACGACCACTTTGTAATGAATTATTTATAGTGTACACATTATCAACTTATTTTCTTAAAGAATGCAAAAACGCCAAATATTTAAAGTCGTTTAAGTCAGTGCAAATACAACCCGATCACACGTGGAACGCTCTACAAATAACCTTTTTAAATTAACTCTAGTTACAAGAGCACGTGCAGAATGGTATGCCTTCGATATTTGCTGAACGATTAATACCCCCGAGGAAATTACAGAGGTTGCTGACAACCTCTTTTCTTACTTTATTTCAAAGTTTATGCTATTCTTGCCTTGTCATGTACTGTATATTCGAATTTGGTTATTTATGACGTTAAAACTCCCCTCTTAAACAAATTACAACATTTTCATTGCCGTAATAACTTGAGCAGTTGTGTATTATGCGATTTAATTTTTTTAAAGTTCTAAATCAAATTATATTTGTTAAATAAACTCATGTATAAGTATTCCTTGAGTGCTGACTAAGTGCTGTTCATTGTTTTATACAGATATCGCTATCTAAAGATATTTTCAATTGAAATCAAACATAATATTATGATAAAATCAACTGAGAGGTATGGGTTTTTTTCTCATTTGTTTAATAAAGGAGCGCAGAGGATGTCTTCATCATCCCTACTTGTGTTGATTGAACTGTTTTATCAATATTTTTTGGGTTAAAACAACAAGACGTTCAACGATTATGATGCGCCTGCGGTAATTGTCACCGACGTCACTTGAAACTTACTTGGTTGGTTGGTTTGTTGTTCAACGCCGCACTCAGAAATATTCCAGCTATATGACGGCGGTCTGTAAATAATTGAGTCTGGACCAGACAATTCAGTGATTAATATCATGAGCATCGATCTACGCAGTTGGGATACGAGGACATGCATCAACCAAGTCAGCGAGCCTGACCACCCGATCCCGTTAGTTATTCTCTAGAAATGTAAACCCCCATATAACCTAGTTCGGTATGGAGAAATAATAATACAGTAACTAATAATGGTTGATGGTTCTGGTCTGGTGGACGGTACAGAAATGAGGGTTAGCCAAGCGAAGTGTCATATCAAATCAGCGCAAGGAGGACGAACGACCACTGCATCGAGTTTTTGTGCAGTGTGTTGAGAAGAGCAGCAATTGGATGAGGTCGGCTAACCTAAAAAATTGAAACTGCTGCTCAGAAACAGTCATTTCCTACTCGAAACCCTCAATGTGTGATTTTGCATCAAAATGTAAATATGAAATGTAGATTATGCAATGAATTTAATGATACTGTCCAACACATTGACAGTGGATGTCCAGCTTTGGCACAAACACAGTATCTTAAGCGACAAGATGGCGTTGCTCGATCCTCTTATTACCGTCTTCGCAATGCTTGTGGTTTTGACTCAGAGGCCCATCCATAGGACGACCCAGAAGATGGAGAGGGCGTCATGAAAAATTATAGTTACAAAATTCTTTGGAATAAGCCCCCTTTTGACACATGTGATTGACAAGATTCAGGAAAACACGGCAAATATGCACACCTCGCTTTCGAAATGTCACGCTTGCATCCCAAGTACAGAACGGACAAATTCAATTGCCTACACTCCCCATATCATTTGTCTACCAAGAGGACCGCCTCCGTGGTCCGCCTGGAGAGCGGAAGGTCCGGAGTTCGATCCCCGACCGCGTCATACCAAAAGACGTTAAAAGATGGTACTTGTTGTTACCCTGTCTGGCGCTCGGCATTAATGGGCTAAAACAAGGACTGGTTGGCTCGGAGTCAGTATACTGTGTCTGAATGTGGTATTCAAGTTAAACTGTCTTATGGTATGTCAGTGAGCTAGCACTATAAATCTGCATCAGTCCGGACTAGTACAAGCAGCCACACACACACACACACACACACACACACACGTACATACACGTCGCTATATAAGTGCAATAATCTTGGACGCGACGTTAAACCCCATTTCACCTCACCTACTCGCCCACTTGCACGAAGCGATCTTAGCGCTAAGTCGGTCGTAAGTCAATGTTAAAGTATGGGAGTTACGATCATCTTAGCGCTAAGATCGCTTTGTGCAAGTGGGCCCTGGTGTCCGCGAAATGAGTGGCAACTTCGTTGCTACGTGTTCGAGGAAGTATATATGGCAATCGTGTAACATGACAATACGACAGGACCCATTTGTCTAAGGCGCCGCTAATCTGGTTCCAGAGTTGCATCCGAAAGGCGTGCCAGAATCCGCTCATCGAGAGTTCTCATCCAGATTCACCCTTCCCCTTGGCAGCGATCCTTGATTGTCAGCAAAATACCTGTTCTCATGGGTTTCACACAAGTGTTAAACGTCTAAGACCTGCATCACTTTGGGCCGCGATATAACAGGAATGCTGTTCAAAGCGGTGTTAAATCAAAATCACTCGCCCACTACAGGACCTCCATTTAACATTCTGAGATGTTTATGTAATCTGCGTGGTGCACGTGCGTGTGTGTCGGGGGGCCACTTGTCCGAGACGGAATATTTTTGCGGTCACTACTCTTCAAAGTCCGCATTTGTTTTCTTTCAAAGAGTTGTTGATTCTTTTAATAAAGCGATGTCAGTTATTAAATACCATTTATTTGCTTTGAAAATAGACTGAAATTTTCTTTAAAGATAAGTAGAGATTGGTAATTCTTTCAGAAGCAGCAGAAGTAACTAGTTTTAATCACCAAAATTTGTTAACTCCGATTCGGAGCGGTTGGGTGGCCTAGTGGTTAAAGCGTTCGCCCGTCACGCCGAAGACCCGGGTTCGAATCCGGCATGGGTACAATGCGTGAAGCCCATTTCTGGTGACGAACGTGATATTGCTGGAATAATGCTAAAAGCGGCGTAAAACGATACTCACCCACAACCCTTATTTAATCATTTTCACACACTAATTGAAGGTGTCTCGGCTTGAGGTAGTCATCTGTGTCTTGTCATAAACGACCTATTGTTGGTGAACTATGTAGCTTGAAGGCGCCGCGATTCGCTGTGCAGAGTTGCGTCCCTTTGGCACGTCAGAAACCTATGATTGTGGGTTCGAATCCCGGTTCGCCCCAATTATGTTTCTAGGTTTGTCAACACCATACCCGTGCTCGTGGGTTTCACCGAAGTGGTAAACGTCTGAGACCTGCATCACTTCGGGCTTTCCTCCCACATTAAGCTGACACGCCGTGATATAACTGGAATACTGTATAATAATACAACCCAACTCACTCACTCACTCACGAAAATAGAACACTACCAGTGGCTACAATACACTTATGCATGCAGACCCAACTTGAGGTTAAAGTACCCATTTATCCTTGATACACACATCTGTGGTCACTCACTGCCCCTCTACCAAGCATCAGTAATATCCTCATACAAACAGGCGTACACTCCATCTGCTGAAGACGAAGTCTATTCTCGTGCTTAAAAATGAGATTTTGCAAATCTGTTTTGAAGTGAGTTAATATTTATCGTCGCATCGGTAATCGGCGATTAACCCTTTAAGAGTTATCATTCATATTCATAATAAGCACATTGATTGTTACGTTTACATCTGCAGCCCAATATCAGTTAAAAGAGAAAGTAGTATTATCCCAATGATGGGATTCTTGCGTTTTATTTACATATTTACATTCAGTTTGTGATCTGTCAATCAAAATATTGTTTCTGTTCTAACGTTTTTATCTATTTTTTTTAAATATAGTCGCAAACATAACATAACATAACCTGCCAGACAATTCGCATAAAAAATATCAAGCTGAAATAAGAATTTTATAATGATTATATTGTTGAAAGATATTATAACTAAATGTTTCCAACACATACTTCACATAGTTCATGAAAAAGTCGAATACGCGCATACGCAAAGACATTATTGATAAATGCAAATCTCAAAATATGTTGTCCTAGTGCCAGAGATTTGTCACAACATTCTGAAGATACAGCGTCAGAGGATAGGACCGGTCTCGTGCCAACATCTTCTCCGTTATGTCATCGGGATTCCAGACTAAAACTCTTCTTTCGGCTTAAAGCACACAAAAAATCCTTCGGGCAACATTTTATCAATAACGTCCATTGACACGAACCTGTAGAATGTTTCATTTAGAAAACCTTCTGAAAACACAGTTTCTTAAAAAAACCACTTTACAATATGAATCATTGGCTTAAATATTTTTTCTTCTGCAAGTCATTTATTGGACTTGAGAAACCCTATCCTCTGTCACAATCTCTTCCTCTAGATTCACTACTTGGTATGTAAAGTTGTTGACGTATTTGACGCCAATATTTACACAAAGGGGATTGTTGACATTTCCCCCCCTGGCTCAATTGCCCAGCTCTGCATGTGACCCTGGGGCCACGGAGGGAATCTGGGTGTCGGGGCAGTGTGATGCGCCACAGGTCTGCTGCTGTTTGTTTGTGTGGACCTCGCCTTTACTTCGCGGATTAGGCAGCTATTCTGACCTCGCAGTTCTGCTGTTTTGCCTTTCTAACATATTAGTCGCTAAATTTAAACTCAGCTTGTGAGACTGGTAATCGTAGCTGTCACCTTTGGTTAAAATGTGGTATACGTTTCAGAGCAATTTTCATCACAAACCTAATTAAATGTTTAACAGCGGTTCATTTAGTGAGTGAGCTAGTTTGGTTTAACACCTCTTTTAACAGTATTCCACTTATAGAACGGCGTGTCAGTTTAATTTTGGAGGAAAGCCCGACGTAATGCCGGTCTCAATATTTACTAATTCGGTGAAACCCACGAGCACAGGTATAGTGCTGCCAAACATAGAAACATAATCCTGGCGAACCGGGATTCGAACCCACGATCATAGGTTTCTGGCGTACACACTTACTATAAGAGGATATGGCTTTCAAAATGGTTTCAAGTAAATCATACATTTTGGAAGAACGTGATATTGATAAAGCCAAACATGAACAGGGGGCATCATTAGTTGACAAAATAGTGTATTAAACTAAATATACTGTTCAACATATTATAAGAATGTTCATATTATTCCATTATACACCAAAATGACCCGTGAAGATCCGGGGTAGAATAGGTCTTCACCACTTTGGTGAAACCCACCAGCACGATATGGTGCTGACAAACCTTGAAACGTATGAAAGGATTCGAGCCCATGACCAGAGGTATCTGGCACGCCAAAGGTGGGAACGTAACAGCGAATTGCGGCGTCTTGTACGACCCCATTCCCCAGTGTTCGAAAAATGAGCGATTATTTTGACGTCGATTTGCTTCTGTATATAGCATCAACGTGACTCAATAAAGCAGCAAGTGAATATTCAATAAACGATCGTGAAGTTTTAATTGAAAATATATTTAACTTATTGACGCTGTATGACATATATGCGAAAGGTTTTGATATGACCTTCAACGGTTAAAACACCAAAGTTGACGCCCTCAAGAACATTTTTAAACCAGTCTACAATGTTTGACTTCGCATCACCATGGTGACAAAATAACTCATGATATCAACTGAAGTATCGGTAAGATTAGACAAGCTGTTGATACTGCACGGGCACAGCCCAATTGTTACAAGGCTACACACGTAATCATTCCGACAAACAAGACCTTCCACATTAGAAAAACGCTTTAAAAACCATCTGTTTTTAACCAAGTCAATACAAAACGTGCGAGTCCACATTTGTGTTTCGAATTTATTGTTTTGTTTTCCATTTAGGTTCTCCGATGGAGCAAACATTCATTCATGACACTGTTTTGACAATTTAAAACCTGTTTTCATTTGGTTTGATTTAGTTTTAAACAATCTGTTTTTCAAAAGAGTACAAATCAAAATATCATGGCACTTCCACTTTCTGTTCTCTAGGTCTCCGCCAAGAAACTGTCAACTATATAGCCCGGTACATGGATGTAAGGTACGATGTGATCGACAATCTCCGCGACGCTCTGAAGACATTTGAAGCTCAAATAACAATGACCAATACGGGATCCAAAACGATCCCTGGTAAAGGCTGGTCTATATATTTTTGTCATCTGAACCTTCTGGAACCAGAGTTCCTGCCTTCTGTAGAAGGTGCTGTTCTTGAGAACTATGGCATCAGGTTCCGCCACACGCAAGGGTGTCTGTTTATGCTGGAACTCTTAGACAATTTTCAGGCTATTCCACCAGGAGCGACAAGGAGTGTGAAGTTTCTCTCTGAAAACTTCTCCGTTTCAAAGTCTGATGGACTTCCAAACTGGTACGTTGCATCTGAAGGGCTAGAGTCTAGAGTCATCCTCAGCACCGCTGGAGAGTCTTTTGACTTCGTTGGCGACTTTGACACGCCTAATAAATGGAAAAGGTATGATTTCATAACCGAAGAGGCCGAAGGCCATGACAGATACGACCCATTCACCCCCAGAGTCAGATATTCTATGAATCAGGATACCAAAGACCTTGGTTCTGCTAACAATCACCTAATCCCCACACCAGCTAAGATGTCCGTTAATGGAAAAGATAAGATCTCCTTACAAACAAAAGATTGGAGGATATTTGCTGATGGAAACTTCAGCTATGAAGCACAGTATCTTGCAGGTAAGAAGTCTTTTGTTAACTGTTGCCATAAGCTGCCAGACTCTCTTACAACCCGTAAGAAGCTTTAATTTCTGTCTTGCAACTGAAGTCATGAAATACAGGCGTGATTCTTCAGGGAGCAGCTCGGATTAATTTTTATGAATATGACACACCTGTCTATGTGTCAAAATTATATGTGCACGAGTGTCTCCATCTGAACGCTATCTGTAGAATCTGCAGCAGGTGCTGAATATGAGTTTAGCCACAAAGTACATGATTTAGCATGGAGGATTTGTGACGAAAACCCCTGTTTCTTTCTGTTAAGTTAATTGCAACTGTGTTTGAGCGGTTTGCAGGGAGATGTTTTTAAGCCCTTCAAGTTTAATCCAGTTTAACTTTGCTGCCAGCAATCTTAGCCATGAATTGCAGTATCTTGCAGGTTTTAAAATGTTTTCCTCAAAGAACACACATTTCCTCTGTTAAGTCAATTTACATGGGTTATTTCTTGCGACAGATGTAACCAGTGCACCTGACAACAATGTTGTCTTTGGGATTAACCATCCTGTGTTAAATCCACCCATAAAGCTAATAAGGCACAAATAGCTAATGGATTGTTGTGCATAATGTGAAGCATATGTCAACACACCTTTTGTACGGTCATTTAGATTTAAGGGGAAACCGTCACTGACTGTAAATAAAGCACTAAACAGATACTTTCATTTTTATGTTCATATGGATTTTCTTGTCCAACACACAGTCAACTACGTTTATAACGGACAAGTCCCGGCCCTTTCTTGCATATATGCTGTATATATGGTTATAACGAACTACGGTTATTACGAACTAAAATTAATGGTCCCTTTGAGTTAGTCTTAACCGTAGTTTACTGTTTACACTTCGTAAGCTTACATCAATCTGACCTGTTGCCAATATTCCGCACGAAGATGCCATACCATATTGTGATAACAAACACTCTCATTTGAGCAGAACTTCTCTCAAATGTGAATTTCAAATATTGCTTTAAATGCTATTGGAAATTTAGTTTTAATACTCACACTTCTTAATAATAGCATTGGTATAAGCATGTTGTATTATACTAATTTATTTTTTTTAATTTTGAAACAAAATTATAAATGATGAACTCGTTCTCCCATTAGGAGCTGTAATAATGAACGTTTGAGACAGTAAACACTGTTGTTTGAAGACTTTAAACTTTAAATATTTAATCTTTAAAACGTACTGGTGAAATTTAATATATTCTGAGATGAAGCTTCCCGGGCCATTCTTTTTTATATTTCCTTCGCTCTCTGGAAAAATGTCAAACCTAAATAGGCCTTTTGACGTCACTAGCGTGGGGATAAGCCTCCCTTCAAACAGATTAAATGTCAGCCAAGTGTTTGTCATTGTATCTGAGTGTTACCCAAGGAGGGCGTGAGGTTCTATTTGGATTAATGCTATAGGTCATTGTGAACTTCGGTCCAGTTTTAACGTTTCTGAAATTGTAGGAAGAGGTTCAGAAAGAACTAACATTGGAATTGAGTCATGTCTGTTTGAGGCTTCAGGGTTATCGCCTAAGACTCAGTGTGGATAACCGAATCTGTTCTCTTGCCAGTATCCGACGTACTCGTGTGCGATTTGTATTTCACTCTTGATAAGCAGCAAACAAGCCCTGTACATTACACTGGCCTGGTTCATAAATGGTTGATGGCATCGATGTACTTGAAAACAAACTTTACTTTTTCAAGTTTCATTGTAAGATTAAGGCTGCATGTATCCGTGTTGGAAGCTTGAGGTTACTTTTATTATACTACATGTTCCAAAAAGTCGAATAAATTTATTTATATACAACATTTCTCTTGGTATATTTGAATAATTTTTAAACGTTTTTTTATGCTAAAATAATAAAATTATTTTGCCTCTATAGTTATTCCAATTTTTCAAAAATAATGAATAAAAGTAACTTTTTCAGAATATATTTTTCTTACATGGCGATGTAATCATTTGAGGGGTGGTCGTGATATTGCTGGAATATTGCTAAACGCGGCGTAAAACCATACTCACTCACTGTAATCCTTTGATCAAACTAAATAAAATTCTTTTTTATTATTTCGGGCGTTCGAAATCATTTTTAAAACTGTCTGATATAAATAATTCTATCTCAAAACTACAGTTTTCTGGGGAATATAAATCCGTTAAACAAGGCATTAACAGTATAAAATATAAGGTTTCGCACTTTGCCTATTGTACTGTATTCACATATGATGGTACGAATTTCAGAACGCCTTGGCATCAACGTCATAGCCACGGAGCCTAGTAGTGGCTACATTAAACTTACTAAAGGTAAGGTCGAGATCAACATTCCTGGAAGACAGCGCAACAGTCCTGAAGCTTACTCCTTGTCTGTGGATCCAGACAATGGATTGATAGAAATCAGGGCCAGTGCTCCAGCGGGAGTCTTCTATGGTGTGCAGACGCTGTTGAAGTTGATGGACGACGACCTGAACGTTCCCCACGTGACCGTCGTCGACGCTCCTCGCTACGCCTACCGTGGCGTGATGCTGGACGTGGCCAGGAACTTCCACAGCAAGGAGCAGGTGCTCCGCCTCATCAATATCATGGCCATGTTCAAACTGAACAAGCTGCATCTTCATCTCACTGATGACGAGGGATGGAGGCTCGAGATTCCTGGCCTGGAGGAACTCACTCAGGTCCGATCACTTTGTGATTATTTCATATTTTATTGTAAAACTGCACGATAACTTAGAATATAGTTGATTTCATGCACCAGGAATGCTCTTGGGAAAAAGGTGTTTTCTTTTTAACATTCACAAGTCCGCGGTAACTCTATTATGCAGTTTGGAAACTTGATGGTGTTATAACATGGTAAAATCAATGACCACAGCAAACTAGATGTAACTATAGAACGAGATCGCCAATAACGAAAAGGTTCTCCTCTCGGGGAGTGGTTATAGGCGTTAAAGGAGGTCCATTGGAATTGTATATACATGACGTTATGTGGAGAGAGAGAGAGAGAGAGAGAGAGAGAGAGAGAGAGAGAGAGTGTGTGTGTGTGTGTGTGTGTGTGTGTGTGTGTGTGTGTGTGTGTGCGTGCGGGCGTGCGGGCGTGCGCGCGTGCGGGCGTATGTGTGTCTGCTTAAGCAGTGAAACGGTTTTGTACTGTAAACCATGATCTAAGCTCTATCAAGATTCTTCCACCTCCAGACAACCTTAGCTTTATCAATGCTCAGTGGCCAGTTGACATGCAGTCCATGTGTAGAATTATCAGTTGGCAAGATAGTATATATGATATTTTACACGTTATATTTACTGCTAAATCAGGGAAATATTTCACCTGACTTCAACGTGACCTATGACAGTCACATCAACAGTCATGATTGAATTGTTCATTTAATGTTGCATGGAACCATAAATTGTCTTGGGACGTTGCGAAAATATTATACTGGTTTATACTGGAAAACAAAATGTTGATAATTTCGCTGGACAATCTGAAACCTAAAACAACACACACACACACACACACACACACACACACACACACACACAAAACACGAAACCGACATGTTAAACAGTCGGCTTCCTTCCATCAACCACAGGGGCGGTCGGGTAGCCTAGTGGTTAAAGCATTAGCTCGTCACGCTGAAGACCCGGTTTCGATTCCCGACATGGGTACAATGAGCCAATGTCTGGTGTCCCCCGCCGTGATATTGCTGGAATATTGCTAAAGGCGGCGTAAAACTATACACACTCCATCAACCACAAACTTGTTCAATTCAGTCTTGGCGTGCATTGTCAGACATGTAGCTATGAGTACCCTTCATCTTGAGATATTAATTTCAGGTAGCAGGCCGCAGATGCCATGACCCGAAAGAGGAACATTGCATCCTGCCCTTCCTTGGCTCAGGACCAACCTCCAATGCTCCGGGCACAGGATTCTACACCACCAAGGACTACCAAGAGATTGTCCGCTACGCCCGTGACCATCACATCGAGGTCATCCCGGAAGTGGACATGCCTGGTCACGGCCACGCCGTCATCAAGGCCATGGAAGCCAGAAGGAAACGCTTCCTGGCTCTGAACAACGTGACCGCAGCTAACGAGTATGTTCTCGTGGAAGCCAATGATCCATCGGTGTATAAATCCATCCAGATGTACACTGACAATGCCGTTAACCCCTGTCTCCCGTCAACATACAGGTTCATATACAAGATCGTTAAAACGCTGCACGATTTACACAAAGACATTTCACCTTTAAAAATATTTCACTTCGGTGGGGATGAAGTTGCGAAAGGAGCATGGGAAAATTCCACGGCTTGTGAACAGGTCTTTGGCAATGGGTTTGATATAGCTGATACAAAGATCCTAAAACAACTGTTTCTCCGCCAAGTTGCTAATCTCACCTCTCAGTTCGGGCTGGATTTAGCGGCGTGGGAGGATGGCATGATGGAGTCGGGGAGCACCCCCTACCAGAGAGGGGGGCTGCAGAATAAGAACATTTACGGCTACGCCTGGGACAACATCTGGGAGTGGGGGGCTGCAGCCAGGGCCTACAAACTCGCCAACGCTGGATACAAGGTAAAACGGAGGCACCATTAGGCCCAAGTGGCTGTCAATACTGCGTCATCTCATAAGTATTTTATGTGTCAAAACTTACAATTTTCTGTACAAGTCAAAGGAGTTATCTCATTAGATTGTGCAGATGTCAACAGGGTTATTTTCATCAAAACAAATATATTTTCAAGTAATTACACATTTCAATAACTGTTTACTGACAGTCGAAAATAATACTCTTTTAATGTAATTTATGTAACACATTTCGATTCGATATAGGACTCATATTCTGTAGCGCAATCTCATAAAAATCAGATCTTAGTTCTCGCTCCGGCTAAACAAAGATCTGGGGACATCCCATTACGGGTCACGTCAGACCGACCTTTCGCAAACTTTGACCGGCCAATGGAATGACTAACAAAAAGTCGACAATAGCCAATCCGCAGGCAGCTTAATCGAGCAATACGGCATGAGTTTCAAACTGGCGACAACGCTTCGAAACATATTTTGACATATACTCGATTAAAAAAATAAAAACTGAACAAAAGAACACTCTGGAATGGCTAATAGCTGGTCTAGATTGTATGAATACAGACATAAAGCCCATAACTGTCGTTCGGAATACCCTGTGTTATTATTCGAGGTTGCACCATCAAAAATCTCATTCCAACTGTCACTTTCATAATCTGATAAGCGATGCTCTGATTGGTCAGATGAAAGGTCGTTCTGACGTGACCCGTAATGGGATGTCCTCAGATCTTTGTTCAGCGGTAACGAGAAGTAAGATCTGATTTTAATGAGATTGCGCACAAACCAAAGTTGAAAGACGAATATTTCACAGCTACTTGTAACACCTCCCAGTAGTAGCCGAGGAGCTTGTGAACTATGTATAAAATGTAGTGTACATACCGTAAGTTTTCGAATAAGCGCCTTTAGGGTATATATTTCTGAAGTCCCTTAAGGCGGTTATTTTTTACATACTGGCGTTTGCACATTTTTTTTTTATTCCAACTGGGTTTGTTTGTTTTTTTAAATTTCTCTTCTCGGGGTTTCGCGGGTTTAGAGGGAACGGGTCAAATCATAGAATTGTTGATCGGTTTCTTTGGAAACCTGAAAACATGGTCAGTATTACTAAATATCCCTTTAATAGAATAAATAAGCAAGAATAGTTTTCCCTTATGTTTCGCAAGAAAATTGTTTATTTGTTTGAAAAATACTTTCGGAGATTTAATGAGTTTAAGATACCGTCTGTGAGTGAGTTGGGTTTAACGCCGCTTTTAACAGTATTCCAGTTATATCGCGGTGTGTCAACTTAATGTGGGAGGAAAGCCCGAAGTGATGCAGGTCTCAGACGTTTACCACTTCGGTGAGACCCACGAGCACGAGTGTGGAGCAGACAAACCTAGGAACATAATCGTGACGAACTGGGATTCAAAAACCCACAATCACAGGTTTCTGACGTGCCCAAGGGACGCAACTCTGCACAGCGAATTGTGGTGCCTCTATTCGCTGTTATTCAACACGATTTGAAGGTTTTATAGAAAGCAGGTTTACAAACTGAGGTGTCTTTTATTTATTCGAGGATTTACGATACATGAGACATTACCTGGTGAGGCCTTTTGCCTCTGTGTGCTATGACTGAGATACGTCGACTAAGTTGGAGGTCTAACAGCACTTAATTGTACATATAAAACACATGTTAAAACATGCATCTTAAGGCACAATATAATACACACTGCTAAATCCACGAGTTTGTCTTTTGATTGTGTCGTTAAAACTGAAAAGCTGTGCTTTTACGACTGTTGTAAAAAGATATAAAAAAGATGTTATAAATTTGATACCCCAGTGTCGGCCAACATTTACAGGCAACTGTAACGAGGCGTTAGGTTTCATTGGCACGGCGCGTTAGGTTTAAGAGCGCACGTTGGAGTTCGGTCCATTTATAATAATAATAATACTAATACTAATAAGAATAATAATAATGAGGAGGAGGAGGAGGATGATAATAATAATAATAATTCACACCCTAAAGCATGCTTCGATCGGTAAGTGGTTTACGGTGAAAACATGTAATATCACAACGCCATTGCTGCCCGAGGTATCATGGTGGTTACGGAATATTCCGGAATATGCCGAGTTTATCTACATTCGCCCTGATTATGACCCTTGGTTAGTGTTTGTTTCCCCTAAAGTAGTAAACGCTGCAACCTACGTCAGTCTGACTTTCCTCCCACAAGTCACACATCGTGGTAAAACAGAGATACTGTTCAAAGCGGAGTGAACTCACTCACTCACTCACTTTAAGACTATATTAACTGGGTTTTTTATATACAACTCCCCCAGCCACTATCCCACTGCTTGGATACGCGTTGGGTCATTTGTGGTCTGCTTAATTTAAATAATGAGTAAAATAAAATATTAATAAACATCATTGTCATAAAAGTATACATATATAGGAATATATTAAAGGAATGAGAACTCGACTTTGTTCATCACGACACGTGCATCTTTTGGACAACACAACTAAATGTAAAGATGAGGCTAGCCTGTGTCGAAAAGGCTGAATTTAGAGGTTTCCGGAAAGTTTGTTTTAAAAATGTTTGAACATGTGCCTTTTTTTATTCAAGTTAAGTTTGCAGATAAACGGTACGAACGTATAGTAAAAATCATCGTCGGAACCTCACTTCCTCGTGAAGTTGGTGATATCGGTCTTGTCACTCATATTGTTATCCAACACGTACACGTGTCAGAAAGACAAAAGGCTAGTTGTCAACCATATCAACATATCCGATAATTTTCATACCACTTTTAAAATATGAGTGAGTGAGTGAGTTGGGTTTTACGCCGCTTTTAACAGTATTCCAGTTATATGACGGCGTGTCAGCTTAATGTGGGAGGAAAGCCTGAAGTGATGCAGGTCTCAGACGTTTACCACTTCGGTGAAACCCACGAGCACGGGTATGGTGCTGACAAACCTAGAAACATAATCGGGGTGAACCCGGATTCGAACCCACAATCACAGGTTTCTGGCGTGCCAAAGGGACGCAACTCTGCACAGCGAATCGCGGCGCCTTAGTCAACTGGGCCACCCGTGCCCCCTTTAAAACATGACATTCCCATTTGGCAAAAAAAGGCCGTTATCCTACCTCGTTATGCCGTATCACTGCCTGACCCGTGAACATCCGGGTAAGCATAGGTAAGCAACCCATGCTTGTCTCAACTATAACAGGCGACTATGCTTACAAGGCCGTAGCTAATTTTGACAGGGGGCGGGGGGGGGGGGGGGGGGGGGGAAATAAGTTTATTTATTTTAATTCAAGTTAACTTTGACAAGGAAAAATGTTTTCTATAAACAATATATATGCCCCCTGCTCCCTGGCTGGCTACGACTAACGGAATCGGGTGGTCAGGCGCGCTGACTTGGTTGATGCAGGTCATCGTATCCCAACTGCGTGGACTCGATTAGTTAAAGACCAGATCATCCAGCTGGAATATTGCTGGGTGCGGCGTTAAACAAAACAACAACAAAAACCGGTACCACTGTCTTATGTATTTCAGGTAGTCATGGCACAAGCTACGCATCTCTACTTCGACCACCCCTACGAGCCCGACCCCCTAGAGCGCGGCTTGTACTGGGCGCCGCGGTACACCGACACCAGGAAGACGTTTGGCTTTATGCCCATGAACATGTACGCCAACGCGGACGTTGCGAGGTCGGGGGATCCGCTCACCAAGAAGGATGTCTGCGGAGAGGACCTAGACGGATGTATCCCTCTCGAGAAACCGGAAAATATTGTTGGTGAGACGACAGGGGGACATTGCGTTATTATTTACTTTGGCCGTGACCTTGACCTTGTTATTATTATTATTATGGAGACATTTTACGGTCGGTGTGAGGTTGTAGGTCTTCCGGGACCGGATAAGACAAATCACTTTTAGACATTTAAAAGGTGCCTGTCGTAAGTCAAGCTGTGTCGACTACCGGTCGGGTTCGCTTCCGGGGCAGAAGAAAGTAGCAATTGTATTTTGTTTCTCGGAACTTGTAAATATATCATCTTGTGTCGTCAACATGCAGACTGCTATTGAGGATGCCGTTATATATTTTTAAACATTTCTGAAACATCCTGATTTAAGACCCAGACGGTGAGAGGGAGGGGGGGGGGGGGGGGGGGAGGATGTGTGTGTGTGTGTGTGTGTGTGTGTGTGTGTGTGTGCTTGTACTAGTCCGGACTGATGCTGATTTTAGAGTCCTAGCACACTGAGATACCATGCCGCAGTTTAATATGAATACCCCACTCAGACACAGTATACTGACTCCGAGCCGACCAGTCCTTGTTTAAGCCCCTTAATGCCGAGCCGCAGACAGGGTAACAACAAGTACCTTCTTTTAACGTCTTTTGCTATGACGCGGCTGGTGATCGAACCCCGAACCTTCCGCTCTCGGGGCGGGCGCTCTACCACTAGACTAGACAGTGTCGTTTCAGTGAAGCTGTGACTAGTAGTCGTCCTGCCTACATGTAAACATATAAACAGTTACGTGCCATGGAGCATGCACAACATGTCAGGGCCAGGATGGAAACAACTTGCGAATTTTCTTCCTTTTGTTTGATAAACAAGTCTTAACTGGAATATTTATCCACCTCCCTGGTTTTCTAGAATCTTCGTATCCGTAAACCAAGTTAGAAAATACTAAACACATATATATAAGAGCCGACTCAAATGTGGATATGATAGTTAAATATCTGCCATTTTTATGCCTTTCTGATTGATGCTCATGCTATCAACCACTGGTTTGTCTGATGGAGTCGGATACTCCCTAGCAACCTATATAACTATAGTTGTAATATTCCTGGTTTAGGCATAACTGACATTACATAACTGATGTTCTAGTGTCTTAAAGCATTGCAAGTCGCTGAGACGAGTAGCGTCCCTTAGTCGTGCCAGGATCCGCATCCCAAATTAGTCCATATTAACATGTTTTGTCAGCACCAAAACTGTTCTGCTTGGTTTCAGACAAATTGTAAAAACACATTTTGCATTTGATGGTGATGTATTACGATATATAATACTCAAAAGAAGTTAAGAACACCCGATTCTGTCACATTACTATTGTAAATCTGCTATGCCATGCCACGTCATGCCATATTAGCTTTAAGAATATGAAATAATCGGGTGTTCCGTAACTTCTTTTGAGTGGTATATGTTATATTTGAGTGAGTGAGTATGTTTTTACGCCGCTTTTAGCAATATTCCAACAATATCACTGTGGGGGACACCAGAAATGGGCTTCACACACTGTACCCATGTCGGGATTCGAACCCGGGTCTTTGGCGTGACGAGCGAACGCTTTAACCACTAGGCTACCCAACCGCCCCTGTTATATTTGATAAATAAAACACATGTCACTCACCGTGTTGCAGGAATGCAGGGTCATCTGTGGAGCGAGCTGGTGAGGAACCGTGACATCGCCGACTACATGATGTTCCCCCGGCTGCTGGCCCTGGCGGAGAGGGCGTGGCACGAGGCGGCGTGGGAGGAGGAGGAGGACAATACGACCAGGCAGGCTATGGAGGACAGGGACTGGGAGCGGTTTGCCAACACCCTGGGCTACAGCGAGCTGAAGAGACTCGAAAACATCGGCATCAAGTATCGTGTGCCTCCCCCGGGAGCAATGTAGGTGGAGTTGTGTTTGTTTGTTTGTTTGTTTGTTTGTTAAGCGCCACACTCCTCAAAAGCAGAACTGTACGACGGTGCTCGTTAAATAATCTAGTGAGTGAGTATTGTTTTACGCCGCTTATATTCCAGCAATATCACGGCGGGGGACACCAGAAATGGGCTTCACACATTGTACCCATGTGGGGAATCGAACCCGGGTCTTCGGCGTGACGAGCGAACGCTTTAACCACTAGGCTATCCCCATCGCCCCTAAATAATCTAGTCTGGACTCGACAATCCAGTGATTGATATCATGAACATCGACCCACGAAATTGGGATATGATGACATTTAAGCCACAGGATCACCGAGCCTGACCTTCTGTTTCATCTTGTCGCCTCTTCCGACGGGTTGATTTGTGGTGGGACGCCCGTCATTTTTTTCATCATTATTTGAAAACTTACGTCACATTAATAACACATGTAGGCTTATATCTTTATACATTCGAAAATTTCTGTCCGTTGATTAAATGCTGCTATTGGCCTGATTAATGTTTCAATCAAAATGCGTTGCATGATCGTAGGTATTTTACCGCCTCTTTAAAAATGAGTTATCTCCCTTCCATCACACATCTACGTTAGCTACTAAAACTAGGCATGCCGCTGATCGACAAAAAAAACCTCTGAGGTGATCCACGTTGTCACTTGTTCTAATGAAACAGAAGATGTATTACATATATTTTGGGAATGCAACAAAGTGCGCTCAATCTGACGAGATTTGAAAACTTGGATCACGCACGAAACGCAAAGCACGGTAGCAGTATCAAAATAAAATGTTCTTTTTGGTTATTTATGGAAAAAAACAAATCGTTTAAACCTGACCATTATTTTGTCAATGCGAATCATTTTCAACTTTAGACTACCCACTAACTATCCACCAACATTCCAGTTTATACAGAAGGAGCTCACTGAATTTAATAAGTTGACAGAGGCGGTCGGGTAGCCCAGTGGTTAAAGCGTTCGCTCATCACGCCGAAGACCCGGGTTCGATTCCCGACATGGGTACAATGTGTTAAGCCCATCTGGTGTTCCCCGTCGTGATAGTACTGGAATATTGCTAAAAGCGGCGTAAAACTATATTTGCTCACTAATAACTAAACAAAGTATTCCGTCATTAATTTAACAGAGATTACTTTAATAATTTTTGGTCAAGCTATAATGCTTTATTTTTTTATTTATTTTTTTTTGCAAAACTGTGTAAATGCTCTGGAAATAAATTATAAAAAAATAACCACAGGATGTAGTTATTAGTCCATCATACAGTCTATACATGTAGTTATTATATTGCAGAGTTGAAGGGGACATTCTGCGGACGAACGTGGCGTACCCAGGCCTGACCGTGGAGTACAGCTTGAACGAGGGGGAGTCATGGTGTCAGGCTTCGGAACCAGTTCTGCTGAGACTAGTCAAGAGCACACGTATATTGCTGAGAACACGGTAACCACAATTGTCTAGCTGTCTGTTAATCCATCCGTCCGTCCGTCTGTGTGTCAGTGTGTCTAACCATCGATCGATATGTCGCAAAAGCATCCATCTTTCCGTACATTAATCTTTGAGAGCGACCCATAAGGAAGTCGTTCTTCCGTACTTTCGTCGTTGACTAGTCATCCGTCTAGCGGATTGCTTGACGGGCGACTGAAAGTCCTGACCAACTTCCTTATGGATGACTAGTAAGAGAGAACAGTACGGGCGGGCGGATTTCATAATCGATAAATGTACGAAGGAGATACGGTGGCCCATAAGGGACATGGAATCTGTTTTTCAATATTTCGATATTTCACTTACTGTTATCGTAACCTTTTGCAAATTAACACGATTTGCCATAAAAATGTGTGATTAATCATGTATAAAGAAGATATTGAATCGCTGAAAAGTGAAGCGAAAATGTCAAAAACTAAAACGAAAATGTCAAAAACATAAATGAAAATGTCAAAAACTAAACTGAAAATACAGAAAACTATTTTCACCGCGGTGGGAATAGTTTTCTTTTTTTTCATTTTAGTTTTTGACATTTTCATTTATGTTTTTGACATTTTCGTTTTAGTTTTTGACATTTTCGCTTCACTTTTCAGCGATTCAATAGCTACTTGAAGGTACATTTTCCATGTTTTCGGTTGTTTTTAATACATGATTTATCACATATTTTTATGACAAATTGTGTTAATTTGCAAAAGGTTACAATAAAAGTAAGTGAAATATCAAAATATTGAAAAGTAGACTCCGTGTCCCTTATGGGCCACCGTATCTCCTCCGTACATTTATCGATTAGGAAATCCGCCCGCCCGTACTGTTCTCTCTCTCCCGACAGCTATTGTTTGACGGTCACCATTCGTCCCTGTAGTGTTTACGGTTTTGTTTGTTTGTTTGTTTGTCAAAAACTAAACTGAAAATACAGAAAACTATTTTCACCGCGGTGGGAATAGTTTTCTTTTTTTTCATTTTAGTTTTTGACATTTTCATTTCAGTTTTTGACATTTTCGCTTCACATTTCAACGATTCAATAGCTACTTGAAGGTACATTTTCCATGTTTTCGGTTGTTTTTAATACATGATTTATCACATATTTTTATGACAAATTGTGTTAATTTGCAAAAGGTTACGATAAAAGTAAGTGAAATATCAAAATATTGAAAAGTAGACTCCGTGTCCCTTATGGGCCACCGTATCTCCTCCGTACATTTATCGATTAGGAAATCCGCCCGCCCGTACTGTTCTCTCTCTCCCGACAGCTATTGTTTGACGGTCACCATTCGTCCCTGTAGTGTTTACGGTTTTGTTTGTTTGTTTGTTTGTTTGTTTGTTTGTTTGTTGTTTAACACCGCACTCAGCAATATTCCAGCTATATGACGGCGGTCTGTAAAATAATCGAGTCTGGGACAGACAATCCAGTCATTGACATCATGAGCATCAATCTACGCAATTGGGATACGATGACATGCATCAACCAAGTCAGCGAGCCTGACCACCCGATCCCGTTAGTCGCCTCTAACGACAAGCATAGTCGCCTTTTACGGCAAGTATGGGTTGCTGAAGACCTATTCCCAGATTAATTCTGCGGTAAATTATCAAAACTCTGCGGTACAATTACCAAACATCTGCGGTAAAATGATCTTTCCCCTTAAAAAATTAATACAAACTCATTCGTGTAGACATTTCAGGTTCAGTTTAACATGTCAACTAATACCACAAGACCGTCGAAAAGTGAGAATTATTTATATTATATTTCGTTTTATCGTATGAATACTATTCTGTATGTTTGAATCGCATGTTTCATGTTTGGATATCATTCGAGTGCAAAATGTGATAGGAAAGCTAGAAAATAATGAAAAATAGTGTATTGATTGATACGAAAGGGGCAGATTTTTCTGCAATCTGCAGTGAGACACATTTCTGCAAATCATTCCGCAGAATTCGACTAGGACTGATAGATATAATTCTATTATTTATCTGATTTGTAAATGCCCAAATTATTCTCTTCTTTCATTCATATATTTTTCTTTCTCCTTTTCTGATCTCTTGTTTTCTGTGAGGTGTCACACTGTCTTCTCTCCCTAAGCCATGCTGTTGTACGTGACCTGCAGAAATGACGTATATCATTAGGAAATATTTATTTGGTTAAGCCTTTTATGTCGGAGCATGGTGAATAGTTAATGTCGAGACAGTTATAGAGAAGTCTCGACCGTGTCGACTCAATAGGATTGCGTATTATAAATATATTTAGATTACACATTGTGTTACAACTTAATATTATGAATACGCCATAGTTCGCCCAACTCATCACGTTTTAGTGGAACTAACTGCACATCCGTATCAAACAGACACCGTTAAGTGCATTATAGATTTAAGATAACGTGACCATCACGGAAGTGTGCACATTGTTGCGCTCAACAGGACATGACAAGAGCTTTAGTATGGATACGTCAAGATGTGGTAATTCCAGTGGCTACTTTAATCCGGAATTCTTCCAACAAGTTTAAGTCCAACCTTTTTACCACCAGGATGTAAGTCTCTCGGTTCCACACTAAGTCAGTAATTACGTCGTTTTAGCAATATTCCATATATGGCTTCTAACATAAATCCGATGTGGGGAATCGAACCCGGACCGTCGGCGTGACGATTGGACGATTTAACCACCGCAATACGTGTAGAATATTGACTGGGATCTGTTAGTTATTTGATATAGTAAAACCCTCGTTAGTCTGGACTCCGTTACAGTAAACTACGGTTATAACGAACTCAAAGGGACCACTAAATGTAGTTCGTTATAACCGTAGTTCGTTATAACCGTAGTTCGTTATGAGCATATTTACAACATATATACAGCAAATGGACGGGACCTAAAAACAGTTCGTTATATCCGTCAGTTCGTTATAAGCGTGTTCGTTATAAACGTATTTTGCTGTATTTCTGCAGGTAAATTTGCCGGCAGCCGTTACTAAAAGATTCACTTAATTTTATGATCAGTGTATTGTGAATTGAAATACTTTGCCTTGGACTTGAAACATCTAAAGTTTCTATGTTAACATAATATTGTCAACATATTGAAGCCGCTATGGATACAAGGTTGATATTTTTTACATCAATTAATTAATTAAATTTAATAAAGAATTTGAATAGTGCATTTTCCAATTAACAACTGCTCAAATGCGCTTAGACCATGACTGATCTAGTCAAAGGTTTATTTGAAGTGCGGGATTGGCTCAGCATGTTGAAATTACCTATCGCCATGTTTTGGTACGTGATTTTGGTACTACTAGCAGACGTTGGTCTTTTGATCGGAGAACACGTGCTGGCTTGTATGGTACTATAGGTTCCTGTAAGTCTGCAGGAGCCAAACTATGCATTGTCTTGAAAACCAGAGTAGTTTGAATTGCACTTTTTGTTGGATTGGCAGCCGGTGTACTTCAGTCAATATTGGAGTAGAGAGTTCACGCTTGGGTTAATGTCAGAATTCTTGCAGCTGTGTTCTGAATCCGCTGTAGTTTTTCTGCATCCTTCTTTGGTAGGCCAAAGATGAGGGGGCGACACCAACCCCACCTGGAGACGACATATATATGTGGATCAAGTTCTAAAACCTTTATGGAAAATATATATTGTACAGAGTTATGTCCCTTGTTTGATCTTTGGACATGATGCATTGCCGACAGTTTCTTGGAAACCGCTATAAGATGACCTGTTGAATTCGCCTTAAGTGATGAATGCCTTATCAAGTATGAAAACCGCCATCGAGAAGTACTATTTCCCAAAGGTATCAGCGTTAGAAACTAACAGTTTTAGACCACTTGTCCTTATAAGGATAACATACAGCAAAACCCTTAAGGGGCTAATTTCTACTAGTCCTTATGATACCTTAACTATTGGGCAGTTTGGCAAGGACTACAGGACTAGGGCCAATTTCTAACGCTGAGTATGGTCACAGCTTTATTGTATTGTTGTCATTGTTTCTTCTGCTCAAATGAGGGTAGGTTTTACTTATGAATCGTTTCATATTTCACAAAACTGTGTACACACATCAGGCAAGTACTGAACTGGTACTTTTCTGGAAATTTAATCTTTTACTTTTCCAAGGCACTAAGTTCAAACCTTTCATTGTTTGTTTGAAAATATATCAGGCCGCCTCCGTGGTGTAGTGGTTAGGGTGTCTACCCGCAGAGCGGAAGGTCGGTGGTTCGATCCCGCGTCATGCCGTGATATGTTGAAAGATGGTGCTTGATGTTTCCCTGCCTGACACTGGGCATGTATAGGTTAGAGTCCTCCTCAAGGACTTTCAACGAACTAAAGTCCACGTCACCAGCAGAGGGGGGCGTCCACTGACGTCATCGTACCTACAAGGGTTGTTGCTGATATCAAAAACTTGTTTGTCTGGTCGAGACTAGTTGTATACAGGTTGCCCACCCGTGAAGATTCCAGGGAAGAATAGGTCTTCAGCAACCCATACTTGCCGTAAAAGGCGACTATGCTTGTCGTAAGAGGCGACAAACGGGATCGGTGGTCAGGCTCGCTGACTTGGTTGATGCATGTCATCGTATCCCAATTGCGTAGATCGATGCTCATGATATCAATCACTGGATTGTCTGGTCCAGACTTGATTATTTACAGACCGCCGTCATATAGCTGGAATATTGCTGAGTGCGACCTTAAACAACAACCAAACAACAAACAAACAAACAGGTTGCCGTGATATTACAGTATAGTGATGGCTGCGGCGTGAAACAATATTCCCTCACTCACTCACTCATTCTCTTTTCAGAGGCGCTAACGGATCCCGAGTGAGTCGAGTGGTTCATCTGTTCACGGGGGCGACGGTAAACAGCGGAAACACGTTATACCCTATGTTTGCATTAGTTTTGTCAATCATATGTGTTATGTTCATGTAAATGTTATAAACCACCATACATTGGCTTATTCATAATGCTTCTCTCACGAAATCCTATCCACATTGAAATTAGAATCATTAGTTTGTATGTAAAATTGTCCGTCCAGCATCGAAATAAACATGAATTTTGGACATTTCTAACCAGTTGGGCTGTTATTTTTCCTTGACAGTCAAGTGCGCACGCACGCACACACACACACACACACACACACACACACACACACACACACACTCACTCACTCACTCACTCACTCACTCACTCACACTCACTCACTCACTCACTCACTCACACAGAGGACAATAAAGAACGAAGCGTGGTTTATTTCACGATAAAGCAGCGTTCTATCATGACGTCATTTTTGGAGATTTCGAATATGCGCTCGCAACTTGATGGCGTCGCATACATAGATATTGCTGGACAGCGCAGGTGAACGCAGTGGCTGGACGATCGCACCCAAAAGAGGGTATTGGGATAAATGGTGCAGATAATCGACGTGAAAATTGTGAGAATACCAAACACACACACACACACACACACACACACACACACACACACACACACACACACCTGGGTCTTCAGCGTGACGAGCGAACGCTTTAACCACTAGGCTACCCTGCCGCCCCTTTAAAAGGCGACTAACGGGATCGGGTGGTCAGGCTCGCTGACTTGGTTGATGCATGTCATCGATTCCCTATTGCATGGATCGATGCTCATGATATTAATCACTGGGTTGTCTTGTCCAGACTCGATTATTTACAGACCGCCGTCATATAGCTGGAATATTGCTGAGTGCGGCGTAAAACAACAAACAAACAACAAATTAGATAAACCAATTTTGACAATAAAAATATGAGTTAAACATATTTATCATCTAATGGGCAGGTTTCTCGGAGCCAACGGAGAAAATGATATCCGTTGGGGTCATATGAGGATACAGATGCAAATATCAAAGGTCAATTAGGGACTACTTTCAGTGTTTACAAACAAACATGGCGTCGCCCTTGTCACTCGGCGATCGTGTGAAAATTCACCATCGGGAATCTAGGCTTCCCCTTTCACGTTAAAAAATATGAAGTCTCAAAAAAAAATCCATTTATACTGGACGTATCTACCAGAAACCCCCCAAATGTACAGGTGACCGAATATTTGAAAGTATAGTATTGTGTGTGCAATACTCTTTAATATTCGGGGCGGTCGGGTAGCCAAGTGGTTAAAGCGTTCGCTCGTCACGCCGAAGACCCGGGTTCGATTCCCGACATGGGTACAATGTGTGAAGCCTATTTCTGGTGTTCCCCGTCGTGATATTGCTGGAATATTGCTAAAAGCGGCGTAAAACCACACTCACTCACTTTAATATTTTCTCATTTGTCCCCTGAACACGTGTATCCTCAGTTAAGCAATGTCGTGGAGATGTCGTGGAGATGTCGTGGTGATGTCGTGGTCGGAAGGGGCGACTAAATGGATTGGTGGGAGACTTGGTTGCTTGCGTGGTATTCCGACGGTGGATCGTTGCTCACAATATCGATCACTGGATTGTCAGGTCCAGATTCGCTTATCCTCAGGCTGGGGTCATAGAGCTGGAATATTGCTGAGTGCGGCGTTCTGTAACAAACATTCATATTGCTGTCACGTCGAGTTTCTGATCGTATTAATAAATCTTGTTGTGATTTGTGTGCAATATGCACTCGTGGGTTTCACCAGGGCATGCTGCCGCGACACTCAGGCCCGTAGGTGAGGTGAGGTGAGGTGAGGTGAGGTGAGGTGAAATGGGGTTGAACGTCGCGTACAAGATTATTGCACTTACATAGCGACGTTCATAGCCGATTCATAGCCGATTTATAGTGCTAGCTCACTGAGATACGATACCGCAGTTTGACATGAAAGCACCACTCAGACACAGAATACTGACTCCGAGCCGACCAGTCCTTATTTAGCCCCTAAATGCCGATTACCAGACAGGGTAACAACAAGTCCAATCTTTAAACATCTTTTGGTATGACGCGGCCGGGATCGAACCCCGGACCTTCCACTCTCCGGGCACACGCTTTACCACTAGACCACGGAGGCGGTCCAAATAGCCCAATAAACGACATTATGTAGATGAAAGGGTGTTTAAAATTGTGTTTGTAATTATAAGCGCGGTTAAAGATTAATATGTGCCTTCTTTGCAAACGCTAACATATTACCAAAGTAAAGTAACACACACGGAGACCAGGAGATTTACAGACATCAAGTACATTTCCCAAACAAAAGGTTCACATATGAACAAAATAGCACTTTGTTATTTTTTTAGCTATATCTCAAGATATTAAAGAGTGTAGCATAAACAGTGATTGATTGATTGGTTTGTTGTTTTACGCCGCACGCAGCAATATTCCAGCTATATGACGCCGGTCTGTAAATAATCGAGTCTGGACCAGACAATCCAGTGATTAATATCGTGAGCATCGATCCACGCAATTGTCAGCGAGCCTGACCGCCCGATCCCGTTAGTCGCCTTTTACGACAAGCATAGTCACCTTTTACGGCAAGCATGGGTTGCTGAAGACCTATTCTACCCCGGAATCTTCACGGGTCAGCATAAACAGAGAGAGCACGAAACAAATTAGGTCAGTTGTGGCATTCACGTAAACAACTATCTGATTTTAGATAACCCGACCAGTGAGAATGACGCCTACGAGCGATAAGAATCAAAGGTTGCCCCTATTGAATGTACCTTGTAAATATAGCTGCCATCTACAGTTACCTCGTGGGCATTCTAGTGACGGTCGCGTCCATTTGCCACTACTGTTTCAGCCCAAAAAAACATACCATTCAAACCTCCAAAACATATTTCCTATGGCAGGGGCGGATACAGAGGGGGGCGCGCAACCCCCCCCCCCCCCCCCCCCCCCTTTTTATTTCGAAAAAAATCTTTATTTCTGCATAAATTACCACCAAAGACAATAAATCAATAAATAGTTTTAATTGTGCAACCCCCTTTTCAAAAAAGCTGTATCCGCCCATGTATGGCAATACAATTTTCCTAACCGAATTGCATATGATCTTATCATGATGTCCAAAATTCGTCCGGAGAAGAATTGCCCGTAAGTTTCACATCAAAATACAATAAGTTAACCTTTTAAGAGCATGTGAAACTATTTTCTAATATGTGAAAGGGCGGAGGTTGGTCTTTCGGCCGGATGTTCTTATCAATTAATTAACGTGAATTAGATAATTGTGAAACTAGAAACGATATGACAGTAGATAAAAAGGTTGCTGTCGCCGACGATTTCAGTAAGCACATATATCCAGCGCGCACATACCCCGCACTTGTACAGTGCTTGCGGAGTTGAGTACCACACGAGAAGTGATGATGTTGCTGGTGGCAATGGTGGTCCTGGCGTTAGCCACGAGGACGGCTGTAAGTCTGAAACTTTCGTCGAATGACATCCCCGAGACAGGTATCACGGAAAACGATAGAGGTGTGTGTTTTTAATGTCATTATTTACTAAAGAGATAGGATTTTTTTACAGGTTTTACGACTTATATTTTGTGCACTTCTTGGTTTGATGTATACTGAAAGGTAGAAGAAAGCATACATTTTGAAACTGCATTTGACAAAAAATTACAAACGTTAGTAGGCTGAAAAAATTCGCCTGAGATTCTCATTGACAAGAGTCATGTGCATGTGATATCGCCTATGATACCATGCGGTCAATCTTGTACCTCTGCCTTAGGTCAGCGAGATGTGACGATTCGTCACAGTAACACAGTCCATTCACTAAATAATCTACACTTTTACACATGTCATGAAATGGTTAACTTTCATTAAGAAAATATCACAATAATTGAAGAACTATTTCCATTTGCGTATTTATCCTTTGTTTACATTGGTTGTACGGCTCCACGTGCTGTCGTCGAAGCACGACGGAGAGTTAGAGACAGGGTCACTTCAATGTTTAAAGATGTCTTGTCATGCTCCTCGCTGTGGCTGTTGTGGCATATCTATATAATTATGAAAAACAATATGTAAAGCGCACCGAAAGGGTTCCGTTAGGCTAGTCTGGTCTCATTTCAGACTAAACGCCATTCGTGACCAAATCGTGTTATTCCGGGACAAGCCGAATAGCGACTCGTGCCCCACTCGTGGCCATTTTTGCAACCGGGTTCCGTCTTAGCGCAAACGGGCATACATAAAACAATTGTCAACTCGTTGCGCAATGGTTCACATACATTTACCCATATATCATTTATATTTCAGACGCAATTAAAAGCACATCAGGACATGCGAAATTGTACAGTATGATTGAACACATTTAACTGTGTCTTGGGTATATTTTTAGATGCAAGACATATGTTAAAACAGAAATTATTTCTGAGGGATTCTTTGTCGAAGAACTTGAAATCATACGCGCATTCTGATTGGTTTGTCGTATTTTCGCACATAACATTCATCGATAGGGGGACGAGTCTTCTTGCAGGTTACGGAAAGGGGCGAGTGGTGACGAATGACTAAACGCGTCTGTTTTCAAGCAAAAGAAAAGTCCGGTCATGTGATATGCAAATTAGCGGTGTAATGCTAATCATTACTGCGCCGGGGTGTTGGCGGAGGAGCCGATAAAATTATGCAAATGAGGTAACCTGATATAGGAACTTTTTAGAAGTCCCGTGCATCGAAGCGGTGTCGTCTTACTAATACAAGCTATTGCCTAATGTTCCCAAACAGTTTCGAAATAGATTTCCGTATGTGTGTGTTTATGGAACCAAACATGGCAGCATACTTCTTCTTTTTTTAATGACACTATAACACTTGCATGTTTCCGTATTGAGCATAATACATAATTTTGATTCCATATATGTGGTAATTACGAAAGGAAAACACGGTGGTGTAACTGAAATACTGTTGAAAGCGGCGTTTAACCTCACTCACTCACTCACTCTCTCACTCTCTCACTCACTCACTCACTCATCACTCACTCGGAATTTTGGGAGGTATCACCAAAATGGAAAATGTCTGATCACATTAATCTGACATGCTGGAATATAGTTCAAAAGCGGCATTAAACCAAACTCACTCACTCACTCACTTGCTCTCACTCACTCACTCACTCACGCTCGCACGCACGCACGCACGCACCCTGCCTGATGCTCGGCATTAAGCGAATAAAACAAGGACTCGTTGGCTCGGATTCAGTAAAATGAGTCGGAGTTGGGTATCCATGTTAAACTGCAGCATAGTATTCTAGCGGACTTTAAAACCGACATTACCACAGGACTAGCACACACGCGTGTCATAAATAAATAAACAAACATGGTGTCACCCTTGTCATTCGCCAAGGCTCGCTAAATACAAAGTTTAATCCCAAAACAGGATATTTACCATCCCCAAACACACTCGCTTAGCTACGTCACAGTTAAACACTGATTTTCAGTATATTAGACTATTCTATTCATAATGATAGCAATTATCCCAGTAGTTTCTCCAGATTCCCGATGGTTAATTCTGACTCGATCGGCGAATGACAAGGGCGACGCCATGTTTGTTTGTAAACACAGGAAGTAGTCTCTAATTGACCTTTGATATTTGCATCTGTATCCGCATATGACCCCAACGGATATCGTTTTCTCCGTTGGCTCCGAGAAACCTGCCCATTATATGATATCTATATTTATCTCATTTTGTTGTTGTCAAAGTTGGTTTATCTTAACTAAGCGGCAAAAGAAAGTATAGGTTGACAATTTGTAATTTTCCTAAAACCAGCGATAACTAGTGGAAAGTGGGTATTGGGAATATGACTCCCGGCCCAGGAACAGGTACCCAAAAACACCTCACCCGAACGCGCCACCTTTGACGGCGCTCGTGCGGTGACAAAAAAATGGTGAAACAGGTTTCCATAAACTGCACGTGCATGTTAGCTGTATAAATGCGTTTGTCTGCAGGGTATAACCACACGTGATGAAAGCACACAAAAGAAATGCCACGACTGTCACAGGAGCAGAGAGAGAGAGAGCCATCGGTATGGCCGAAATGGGGGCAACACAGGTCCAAATTTCACAGAAGGTTTGTTTGTGCACCATTTACAGTAGCCAGGCTGATTCAACGGTACATGCAGACAGGGAGGACACAGGACAGGCCTAGAACCGGACGACCCCGAGTGACAACACCACTGGAAGACGGTCAGATACGGCTCATTCACCTGCGAAACAGATTCGCAACGGCGACGGCGACGGCAGCAACAGCGCTGGGACATCCCATTAGCCAACGTACAGTACTACGACGACTTCGTGCTGCTGGAATCCGAGCGTATCGTCCTTTCCGAGGAATGGTACTGACTGCTCAACATCGACGCCTGAGATTGCGATGGGCGAGGCAGGTTCGACGCTGGCAAGTGTGAAATTGGCGTCGAGTGCTGTTTACTGATGAAAGTCGGTTTAACTTGTTTCGAAATGACGGCAGAGAACGAGTTTATCGACGCAGAGAGGAACGTTTGGCTCCGGCGTGTATTCGAGAGGTCCATCCATTTGGCGGGGGAGGTGTCATGGTGTGGGGCGGTATTTGTGGAGATCAGAAGACTGATTTGGTGATTTATACAGGGAAACCTGAACGCTGTGCAGTACAGCGACCAAGTGTTGCAGCCAGTTGTGCTTCCGTCCTTACAAAACCAACAGCAGGGGACATTGTTTCAACACGACAATGCCAGACCCCATACTGCAAGACTGACTCGGAACTTTCTAAACCAGCAGAACGTTGACGTTTTGCCCTTGCCTTCCCACTCACCCGATATGAATCCTATTGAACATATGTGGGACCATCTTGACAGACAGATTAGAGCACGCCATCAGCCTCCCGTCAACAGACAAGAATTGTAGCAGGCCCTGAGAGACAAGTGGCAACGGATTCCAGTCCACGTCATCAGAAGACTGACGTCATCGATGAGGCGGCGTATCACAGCATGCATTGAGGTAGCTGGAGGTCATACACGCTATTGAAGGCAACAGTGTCGACAATGAACTTGTAGTGTGTCTGACAATTTTTTGGTGAAATTTCAGACAATTTTTGAAAATGAAATTTCTTACCCCACCATTGTTTACCTTGAGCTTACATTACCTGTGATTGTACAATTTCATTCAAACTGTGGTTGATCAATCATTTGTTAACCCTCCCTAGATTATATTATGATTCACAACAAAACTCTTCTTGTTTTTTTTTATCGATCATGGAACTCGACCTATACTTTCTTTTGCCGCCAAGTTTAATTGATTTTTATATGAACATTATTATAGGTAACCCACTGTAAGACAACACATATTTTTCCGACAAAATTTTAAAAAATAATTAAAAAATGGACCCGTGAAGATCCGGGGTAGAACAGGCGACAATGCTTGTCTTAAGAGGCGACAAACGGGATCGGGTGGTCAGGCTCGCTGATCGTGGATCGATGCTCATAATGACAATCACTGGATTGTCTGGTCCAGACTCGATTATTTACTGACCGCCGTCACAAGCTGGAATATTGCTGAGTGCGGCGTTAAACAAACAAACAAAGTTGTCAAAATTAAAAAAGAAATAGTTTCGTTATTCCAAGCGTAAATAAATTGAAACGTTGGTTTAAGATAATTTATAATTGACAAACAACTCTCCATTCCTGAAAAATAATGGACCGCTTAAACAATATAATGACGTCACAGATGTGTTTCAATGGAACATCCTCGCGTACTGTGATTTCGAGCCCCTAAAAAGTATTTATAATTACGTGTCGAATAACAAGGCCAATCCACTAAAATTAAGTCTTACCATAGAGAACATTCATTTCTGTTAACACTTGGATTATCAGATGACTGTGTCTTAATTTTATAGTGGTAATGCCTGGATGAGACAGGCGAGTCGAGCAGGCGCCATCTTGTTTCGGTCAACTGATTTCAGCCTCTCCATTACAGTCGGGTTAAAAATAGATGCACCACATGACAAGTCACATGACATTACACACTGGAGGTTCACAAACAGCAGCCGATGCATCATCGGCACATACAATTGTGCTGTTGCACAATTATCATCACATCAAGTCTGAATAAAAAGGGCATATATGAAAAAGTAAGTTTTGAGGTATGTTTTTCATTACTGATTGAATATTTTACCTCGTACCTTAATTCGCAATATACACTGTAACTTGACCAGTTGCAAGTGGCGATCACGTTGGTGTCTACAGAAGGCTCAGAAACGTCTACATTGATTACATCATGAAGTGACCCGAGAAGAGCCGGGATGGAATAGGTCTTCAGCAACCCATGCTTGCTGTAAAAGGCGACTATGTTTGTCGTAAGATGCGACTGACGGCATCGGGTGTCAGACTCGCTGACTTGGTTGATGCATGTCATCGATCCCAATTGCGTGGATCGATGCTCATGATATCAATCACTGGATTGTCTGGTCCAGACTCGATTATTTACAGACCGACGTCATATAGCTGGAATATTGCTGAGTGTGGCGTAAAACAACAAACAAACAAACATCATGAAGTGCGAAGTGACCGTGGTCACATATTGTTAAGGAGCTCGAAAACATGTGACGTGGGTATACTCTATCCTTGCAGTATGTTCCGGGAGCAGATCATCTTTGTCTTCTTCTGGCTCGGATAGCTGGTGGTACAACAAAACGGTACAACTATACACCAACTGCACCTACGTGGACGGCAACCTCGTCGTCACATGGCTTACGGACGAAAACATCAACTACGACCTAACTTTCCTACGTAACATACGGTACGTCCGAGGCTTCGTACTGATCGCAGGTTCGTATGAGCACATGGACCTGAGCCTCCCAAGCCTGGAGGTGATCAGGGGGAACTACACATTTCCCTATGGTGGAAACGAGTATGGGCTCGCAGTACTACTCACCAACTTTACGTCAGTACGACTACCCCGGTTGAAAGGTAAGTCCAAATAGGCTAGAGAGTGAGTCAGTGAGTTGGGTTTAACGCCGCTTTTAACAGTATTCCAGTTATATCAGGGCGTGTCAGCTTAATTTGGGCGGAAAGCCCGGAGTGATGCAGGTCTCAGACGTTTACCACTTTGGTGAAACCCACGAGCACGGGTATGGTGCTGACAAACCTAGAAACATAATCGGGGCGAACCGGGATTCGAACCCACAATCATAGGTTTCTGGCGTGCCCAAGGGACGCAACTCTGCAAAGCGAATCGCGGCGCCTTAGACAACTGGGCCACCCCTGCCCCCAAATAGGCTAAAGAATGAGCCGAAGGTTCATGGATACAGTAATAAGGCCTGTCGTTCAAGCGACGCTGAGCCATATGCTATAACACTGAAATAACACGCACACTATTCGCGGCGCAGTCGCGTTGGACCATCGGGAAAATTTGGCACGTGTCAGTGAACGCGGACATGAGATGAGTGAGAAGGAGTTCGTAGGGCCAGGTTAGATTAGTGTTTTGGGGGTTTTTTTTGTTGTTTAACGCCGCACTCAGCAATGTTCCAGCTGTCTGTAAATAATCTAATCTGGACCAGACAATCCAGTGATTGACATCATGAGCACCGATCCACGCAATTGGGATACGATGATATAGATCAACCAAGGCAGCGAGCCTGACCACCCGATCCCTTTGGTCGCCTCTTACCACAAGCATAGTCGCCTTTTACGGCAAGCGTGGGTGGTATGTGTCGATGTGGATACAAGACGGTGGGCTTATTGTTTCAGCTTTAAATTGGCTGGAATAGACCCGGGCGGTCTTGTGATCATGTGTGGTGACAAGTTCTCAAATTCCAGTGTGAACTTTTCCTTTCTTCCATTGAATTCAATATTTGACAGTAAGACACCGATATTTAATTTAAATTGCCCCACAGGCTTTATGAGAAAATTGTTTTGGTAGCATATTTCTTGAAGCAGTGGCCGAAAACAAGTCTGTCAGAAACACAAACCAACATAAGCACACATCATATAGGTATTGGCCAATGAACTAATAATTGTGTGCTTGTGTCAACGGTCAATCAGGTGGGTGAGTGAGTGAGTTTGATTTTACGCCGCTTTTAGCAATATTCCAGCAATATCACGGCTGGGGACACCAGAAATGGGATTCACACATTGTACCCATGTCTGGAATCGAACCCGGATCTTCAGCGTGACGAGCGAACGCTTTAACCGCTAGGCTACCCGACCGCCCCAAGCCAATCAGGCGGTCTACTGGCGGAAATCGTCAAACATGACCGACAAAGCATATGTCATGAAAGAATACAACTGCCATTGCGCTTTTTAGATAGCATCCTATCTCATTTTACAGAGATCTCAAACGGAAAAGTTATTTTTTATGCAAACCGACCCGACATTCGGGTAGAAGTGAGCAGGTCCTGGGACTCCATCGTGCGAAACAGGGAACCCGGGGCTGTCAACATACAGGGGCACATCATGCCTCTCTCCCCACATTCAGGTAAGTACGAATATATAGGTGAGGTGAGGTGAAATGGGGTTTTAACGTCGCGTCCAAGATTATTGCACTTATATAGCGACGTGCATGCGTGTGTGCGTGTGTGCGTGTGTGTGTGTGTGTGTGCGTGCTAGTCCGGACTGATGCCGATTAATAGTGCTAGCTCACTGAGATACCATGCCACAGTTTAACATGAATACCCCACTCAGACACAGTATACTGACTCCGAGCCGACCAGTCCTTGTTTTAGCCCCTTAATGCCGAGCGCCAGACAGGGTAACAACAAGTCCCATCTATAAACGTCTTTTGGTATGACGCCGTCGGGGATAGAACCCAGGACCTTCCGCTCTCCGGGCGGACGCACTACCACTAGACCACAGAGGCGGTCTAGTACGAATATATAAACTGCAGAGTGGTATCACAGTGGGCTAGCACTAAACAATCAGAAACACGCACGCACGCACGCACGCACGCACGCACGCACGCACGCGCTCAATCACGCGCACACGCAAGTCGCCATATTACTTGAGCGGAAAGATACTCCCAATTTCCCGTCACTTAATCGATATATTTTTTTTATTCTCTTATGGTTAATTGTGATTTGACATATGGTAAAATAATATACTATACTGTCGGTAATGATTACATAGCTGAACGTTCGCAATAAAGTCAAAGCCACAAATACTTATGCTGTACCCGTCCTTTCGTATTCTTTTGGTGTTGCTGATTGGACGAAACAAGAATTTCAGGGTACTGACACCCTCACACCAAGAATCATGTCAGACAGTAGATCCCACCACTCAATCACCTCAATCGCTTATATGTACCAATTATGATGGGAGGGCGTGGTTTGAATAATGTGGAGGCTCTTCATGATAGAACTGTTTTGTGCACTTTTGCACACATTTATGTGTCTGATGATTCTCTTGGGAAGCATGTTTAGAGCATGATGAAAACAAGGCATTCCACAGTTTTCTTAAACGAGCCAAGGATGTGGACATAATCTCATTGTCAGTGTTAAATTACTGTGTTCTGTACTGCTGGACGGTACAGAAATGAGTGTCAACCAAGCGAAGTGCCATTTCAAATCGGCCCAGACTCGGTTTTTTCAAGAAGAGGCTATCTGAACGGCCACTGCATCGAGTTTATGTGCAGTGTGTTGAGAAGACCGGCAATCCTGCAGAGCCCTTCACTTGGATGAAGTCGGTTGACCTGAAAAGTGAAACAGAAGGCTTTCTGTTTGCTGCTCAGGACCAGTCACTTCCAACTCGAAACCGTCAATGTGTGATTTTGCATCAAAATGTGAATATGAAATGTAGATTATGTAATGAATTTAATGAGACTGTCCAACACATTGTGAGTGGATGCCCAGCTTTGGCACAAACACAGTATCTTAAACGACATGATGGGGTGGCTCTTTATTACGGCCTTCGCCATGCTTGTGGTTTTGACACAGAGGTCCATCCATAGTACGACCCGGGATATGTAGAAGGCGTCATGGAAAATGATAAATACAAAATCCTTTGGAATAGGCCCGTTTACAGCCTCAGACATATCCAGGCCAACAAACCTGATCTTGTCCTTTTTGATAATTCCAATCAAATCATTTATATCATTGAATTTTCTGTCCCTTTTGACAGTAATGTGATTGACAAGATTCAGGAAAAACATGGCAAATAAGCGGACCTCGCTTTCGAAATGCCACGCTTGCATCCCAAGTACCAAGTTCTCCGACTTCCAATTGTGCTCGGTGCATTAGATTTGGTACCTCCCCCTCTGTTGACTGACACTGGGAGAGCAACTGGGTTAGCTACCAGGAATACAGCCCTTCTGACAAACTTGGTAATGCAGAAGGCTGCAGTGTTGGGGAGTCTTCACATTCTCCGAAAGGTTCTGGGTGGGTTTGACAAGGCAGTGATTCCTGGGAGATGTCCCATTCGCTGTCTGGGCTGCGTGTAGAGGGGGCAAGGGCCCTGGGCTGATGATGAGCCAAACCAGCCTGACTGTGCCAGGATCACCCAAACCCTCTTTGCTGCATTTTTAATTTTAATCTGTAAATAATAATAATACCATGAAAATGTCTGCCATAATTGAAATATTCTTCATGATTATTCATGATGAAAGTGAAATAAGATACATGTGATCCCTGCCATGTCGTCTCCAATATAAACTGAAAGAATTCTGAAATATCATACAATACGGTCATGTTTAAATGTTTATTTCACCCATTGCTCATCCATGTATGCGTGTATCATTATGACATTTTATATGCAGTAAGTTTATGGTAATGACAGTAACCCGTTACATTTTGGCATTGTGTATTGCCATATTCGCCATGACTTCAAACTTTGACCTTTAAATATGTTCCGCTGCATTAATGCCATGACAGGAATGAACATGCTGTTTTGCCCGTCTGAGAGACAATTTACATACCATTGTCTATTTTGATGATAACACGCGTTCCATATTCATAATAAATCTCGGCTAAAAGCAGTGTGGATTGTACAATTCCGGCTATATCATGAACATGTGTTTATGAATATAACTATCAAATAGTGATGATAGAAGGTGTTCGCGGAAAGATGTGTGTCTCCTGCCCCACAGGTGGAACCCGTCACAAACACATGCAAAGGAAAGTCAATTTTTCAAACTGATGCGTCAAATTTGGAAATGGCCACGAAATGTTTTGAAAGCTTCACCTTGTCTGTTGTCTGGGATCTTCTGTTATTTCGGACCGCCTCCGTGGTCTAGTGGTAGAACGTCTGCCCGGAGAGCGGAAGGTCCGGGGTTCGATCCCCAGCCGCGTCATACCAAAAGACGTTAAAAGATGGTACTTGTTGTTACCCTGTCTGGCGCTCGGCATTAAGGGGCTAAAACAAGGACTGGTCGGCTCGGAGTCAGTATACTGTGTCTGAGTGGGGTATTCATGTTAAACTGCGGCATGGTATCTCAGTGTGCTAGCACTATAAATCGGCATCTGTCCGGACTGGTACAAGCAGCAACACACATATACATGTGCATGCACGTCGCTATATAAGTGCAATAATCTTGGACGCGACGTTAAACCCCATTTCTCCTCACCTCTGTTATTTAGTTTTGTTATCCTTCTTTCCCCTTGTATGACCTTTCTGATCTGGTTGAAATAATGTCCAGACAAACTGTATTTTTACGGTAAATTACCAGCAACCTTTTCACCATTTTTTACAGTAAAAACGGTAGACGGTAAACCTATCTGAATCCAGTTAATGTACTGTTACTATAACGGTAAATTACTGTAAGACGCCAAACTCACAAACTATACAATGGTTTGCCAAATAAGGTATGCATCTAATGGTATGTTACTGCAAGTGGCAAGGAAACTAACTCCAATATCAGAAGAAGCCCCTTTTGACAAACTGATCCTTCGCAGTAAAGTTTTTCATAATACTTTTTTTATTTTGGGGGTCGAATTTTTGTCGGAATATATTCTGATGACTCAATGTTTAATCGACAACATATTTCCTCGTATGTAAACACGATACCTTCCCACAGGGAGGAGTAGTAAACAGATTAGGTAATTAGGAATTAGATTTATGTTCATCAATCTAAAAATTGATACCTCTCTGCATGAAGATCTGACGACGTCTCCATATGATGTCTCTCGAAAACGAAGATAATCGGGCTGTTCTCAATGGAAATAAGAAAGGCCACGCCCTTATATTGTTGTGGATAATTTATACACTTTGTCTTTTCCGTAGGCAATTGAATCTACATACAAAAGGGAGTACAATCGATGGAATATTTGTGTTCTGAATGGATTTATTCTTCTAAAACTTGACATTTTCGTGGTGGTAAAGAAATGAAAGCTGGCATCTGATTGTAACAATATTCATTGATATTTGGGCGGTTTCCGATCAAGCGACCATCTGTGGAGGGGTTGTCAGAACTTCACGCAGTAATGCAGCGTATCGGAGTAAGATATCTGATTATTATGAGATTGTTCCTTTATCAAACAGATAATAATAAATATCAATAAATGTTACAAAAAGAAGCAGGCTAACTTATCTTCACGTGACACTGGTGTTTGTAGATGAGTGCCCCTTGTCCTGTCCCCGGAGGTGCTACTGGTATGGTGCTGGGTGCTGTCACTCACAGTGTGCAGGGGGGTGCTGGGGTCCCACGCCAGCCCAATGTGAGGTAAGTGTCCCTCGCCCTGCCCCCGGAGGTGCTACAGGCATGTGGCTGGGTGCTGTCACCTACAGTGTACAGGGGGGTGCTGGGGACCCACGCCCGCCCAATGTGAGGTAAGTGTCCCTCGCCCTGCCCCCGGAGGTGCTACAGGCATGTGGCTGGGTGCTGTCACCTACAGTGTGCAGGGGGATGCTGGGGTCCCACGCCCGCCCAGTGTGAGGTAAGTGTCCCTCGCCCTGCCCTAGGTGGTGCTACAGACATGTGGCTGGGTGCTGTCACCTACAGTGTGCAGGGGGGTGCTGGGGACCCACGCCCGCCCAGTGTGAGGTAAGTGTCCCTCGCCCTGCCCCCGGAGGTGCTACGGGCATGTGGCTGGGTGCTGTCACCTACAGTGTGCAGGGGGATGCTGGGGTCCCACGCCCGCCCAATGTGAGGTAAGTGTCCCTCGCCCTGCCCTAGGGGGTGCTACAGACATGTGGCTGGGTGCTGTCACCTACAGTGTGCAGGGGGGTGCTGGGGACCGACGCCCGCCCAATGTGAGGTAAGTGTCCCTCGCCCTGCCCCAGGAGGTGCTACAGGCATGTGGCTGGGTGTTGTCACCTACAGTGTACAGGGGGATGCTGGGGACCCACGCCCGCCCAATGTGAGGTAAGTGTCCCTCGCCCTGCCCCAGGAGGTGCTACAGGCATGTGGCTGGGTGCTGTCACTCACAGTGTGCAGGGGGGTGCTGGGGACCCACGCCCGCCCAATGTGAGGTAAGTGTCCCTCGTCCTGCCCCCGGAGGTGTTTCTGGTATGGTGCTGGGTGCTGTCACCTACAGTGTACAGGGGGGTGCTTGGTATCAAGTTTACCCGAGAATTTTTAAAATCTGTTAATATCCCTTTTCCAAGACACCTCGGTACCTCTAACATTTGCTCCGACTTGCGCATGTAGGGCTTATCATCCTGTCCCGGACATCGCTATGTAAGTGCAATAATCTTGGACGCGACGTTAAACCATTTCACCTCATCTCATCCGGCCACGACATCGTTCACGGCGAGGCAGCAGCCAACCAAGACATCGTTCACGACCCAGGTCGCTATGTAAGTGCAATAATCTTGGACGCGACGTTAAACCCCATTTCACCTCATCTCATCCGGCCACGACATCGTTCACGATGCGGCAGCAGCCAATCAAGACATCGTTCACGACCCAGGGTGAGGAAGGTTTCTCCTAGAGACTGGTGCAGACATCATGCATGGCACCTCTGCAATCCAATCAAATAGAGTGTCGTGTTCTTCTCCGGTCTATATGCGACCTGGGATTCCTCTTGGGTCGTATACGGCCACGTAATGATTTACTCGGAGGTGTTAATAAAGTATGAAATAACGGATTCGTCGGAGAATGTCTCCGAACCGGTTTCTCGGAAGCGGTGGCAGAACCAGTATAAAGTAATGTGGGAATGAGGCACGATATTCCCCGTAAAGTCAAACATATCATGTCGGACATTTTAATGAAACAGAAACAGAAACAGAAGACAGAAACACAAACCTTCATTGCCACACTAACCAAATCGCCCCAAAATGAAATGTGTCTATATATTCATCTAAAGTGAATAATTGACCACTTTCTGTTATAAAGTGGATAATGGAAGTTAATTCTAATATTAGCAAAGGCAATCTCCTGACCGGAGCTCTGAGGACGTCTTCGTCCCACAACGAATAAACATAAACATCCACATGTTACCCCGTTCAACGTAGTGGTCCGTCACATCAGCATGACACGCACGAGATTTACCAAAAAAGAACATGCGCAACGGGTGTGTTTGGGCGAGCACTTCCATATTAATCAAGTGTATTTGGACGAGCTATACCAACCCAACCAAGAACAACTGTTTCCTTCTGTTCAAATGTGTTTCTCGGAAGCGGTGACAGAACCAGTATAAAGTAATGTGTTTCTCGGAAGCGGTGACAGAACCAGTATAAAGTAATGTGTTTCTCGGAAGCGTTGGCAGAACCAGTATAAAGTAATGTGTTTCTCGGAAGCGGTGACAGAACCAGTATAAAGTAATGTGTTTCTCGGAAGCGGTGACAGAACCAGTATAAAGTAATGTGTTTCTCGGAAGCAGTGATAGAACCAGTATAAAGTAATTTGTTTCTCGGAAGCGGTGACAGAACCAGTATAAAGTAATGTGTTTCTCGGAAGCGGTGACAGAACCAGTATAAAGTAATGTGTTTCTCGGAAGCGGTGACAGAACCAGTATAAAGTAATGTGTTTCTCGGAAGCAGTGATAGAACCAGTATAAAGTAATGTGTTTCTCGGAAGCGGTGGCAGAACCAGTATAAAGTAATGTGTTTCTCGGAAGCGGTGACAGAACCAGTATAAAGTAATGTGTTTCTCGGAAGCACTGACAGAACCAGTATAAAGTAATGTGTTCCTCGGAAGCGGTGACAGAACCAGTATAAAGTAATGTGTTTCTCGGAAGCGGTGACAGAACCAGTATAAACTAATGTGTTTCTCGGAAGCACTGACAGAACCAGTCTAAAGTACCGTGTTTCTCGGAAGCACTGACATAACCAGTCTAAATTAATGTGTTTCTCGGAAGCAATGACAGAACCAGTATAAAGTAATGTGTTTCTCGGAAGCGGTGGCAGAACCAGTATAAAGTACCGTGTTTCTCGGAAGCGATGACAGAACCAGTATAAAGTAATGTGTTTCTCGGAAGCAGTGATAGAACCAGTATAAAGTAATGTGTTTTCGGAAGCGGTGACAGAACCAGTATAAAGTAATGTGTTTCTCGGAAGCGTTGACAGAACCAGTCTAAAGTAATGTATTTCTCGGAAGCAGTGACAGAACCAGTCTAAAGTAATGTGATTCTCGGAAACACTTACAGAACCAGTATTAAGTAATATGTTTCTCGGAAGCTGTGATAGAACCAGCATAAAGTAATGTGTTTCTCGGAAGCGGTGACAGAACCAGTCTAAAGTAATGTGTTTCTCGGGACCGGTGACAGAACCAGTATAAAGTAATGTGTTTCTCGGAAATAAAGTATTACTGAACCAGTGTGAAGTAGTATATTCCCCTCCTTACTGACACTGAAACCCGTTTCACCCACACTGACTTGATCCATATATATAATGAATTAGTGAGTGAGTATGGTTTTACGCCGCTTTTAGCAATATTCAAGCAATATCACGGCGGGGGACACAAGATATAGGCTTCTCACATTGTACCCATGTCGGGAATCGAACCCGGGTCTTCGGCGTGACGAGCGAACGCTTTAACCACTAGGCTACCGACCGCCCCCATATAAAAAATAACATTATGATTGCTCATGTTATTTTGAGGACTTTATAAACTTGAAAATGAAAGAATTTGATCTAGATCTATCTATTGTCTTTCTTATTTTTCTTCCAGACGTGCAAAGATTTCGAGCTTGAAGGCGTGTGTCTGAGTCATTGTCCTGCAGACCACTACCGGCACGGTCGACGATGTCTGTTAAACCCCCTGTACAGAGGCGGACAATAGAGATGATGGAGTAGGAGGTACGCCGTCCCTGTGGATGTTTGGGGGACAAGGAGAAACATCCCAGATAGAAAGTATATATTCATTTACGTAGATTCTGAAACTTTTGTTGTGTATTTTGTATTATAATAACCCCAGTGACCGGTGTGAACACAAATACAGTAAATTACGGTTATAACGAACACGCTTATAACGAACTGACGGATATAACGAACTTACTTTTTTGGTCCCGACTATCTGTTGTAGTTATGCTGTATATATGCTTATAACGAACTACGGTTATAACGAACTAAAATTAGTAGTCCCTTTGAGTTCGTTATAACCGTACTTTACTGTATACCGATTTATGTCAAATAAATGTAGAGGCAGGACGAGAATGTGTAAAAAAACGTTGTGATTTTAGAGATTTCAAGAGGCCTGTTTCGTTTATTTGAACTGAGAATGTTTTTGTTTTGTTTTTAAATCAATAAAACGTTTTACTACGTGATGATGAATTTGTTTGACACCAAACACAATTTTATGTGTTTATAATTAATGATTGGACTTATTACTTTTTCACAAGACCCATCAAGATCCGGGTAAGAATAGGTCTTCAGCAATACATATGCTTGTCGATAGAGGCGACTAACGGGATCGGGTGGTCAGACACGCTGACTTGGTTGATGCATGACATCGTATCCCAATTGCGTGGTTCGATGCTCATGATGTCAGTCACTGGATTGTCTGATCCAGACTCGATTATTTACAGACCGCCGTCATATAGCTGGAATATTGCTGGTCGGCGACATCTGAGGTTGTTGGAACGGAGCCGTCGGATCAAAGTGTCCCGGCTTATGTGTCGATTATGTGTTCCTATGGTCTGTCGAGCACATTTCACTTGTAGTTAGGAACGGATGTCGCTGGTGTTGACGGGTAATCTGCCGATCTTGTAGAGGTGTGGTCACCCTAAGACGACCGCTCCGAGGAAGGTCATCTGTGGTCTGTGTAGCATTGTATAGATGCAGGAGACGGTAAATTGTGGTTATGTTAACGTTGAAATGACGGGCAACATCTTTGACACTCTCCAGCTTCCAAACGTCCGATAGCCCGGTTTCTCTGAATTTGAGTTAGGCGTGGCATTGTTGACCAAGGAGTGGTAGGTCCAAGAATCGTCCACAGTTTTATACCCACTAAAGTTCGTGACAGTTCGTGCATTTTCGATTTCGTGAGAAATGGGTGCATGATACCCACATATTCATTGAAATGGTGCGTTTTGGCGATTCGTTTTTTATGTTGCGTTTTTACTCGGGGCTTCCAAAATGCAACCAGAGATATTGATAACACCATCAGGCTTCACTGCATGCTAAAACTCATATCAATTTATGGTTCCTTGTTTATTACCTATTTGCTTAAAACCACTTGCGTTTCTTTTGCGTGTGAGTATATATTGTATATATCATATAAATAATCAACAGATGATAATCGATTGTTCAAAACTGGCACACATCATTGTCATTGACCCAGGTTCCACATGGCACACATGGATCGGTAGATTATAGGTCATTTGTTCTCAATATCTTGTATCGCAACCAATAGAGTAAAAAACTGACTGGCGTCATCGTCTCATGGAAGCAATCAGATTCCGAATTGCGGACTGGGGAATGTTCACTCACTCTGCCTGCAGTGCTTGTGTCAACTGTTGGCGGTTCTGTGGTTGTTGCTGACGTGCTCGTAGTCGTTGCTCAAGTGCATCCCATACCTTTTCTATTTGGTTCAAAACTGGTGACCTGGAGGGCCATGGCAGGAACTGGGTGTTGTGATTCCTGAAAAAAGCTGTCTGTCTTGCCGTGTGAGGTCGGGCGTTGTCTTGTTAGAAAATAACGATCGCTGATTGCGTAATGAGAAAGACGTGGGGCCGAAGAACATCATCCGTGTAGGAGAGTTCTACCCACATCATCACGCTACCTCCACCAAATCTGTCCACTTCCTGTATGCCGTTTCATGCATAACGTACTCCGCGACGCCTGTAAACACGACGTCTACCAGCCGATCGGCGAAGCATAAAACATTACTCGTCACTTAACCAAACCATTGTCGTCGCAGTCGTCCAAATGACACCTCGGACTGGTCGTTTAGCGCGAATATCTTCAGCGCACAAACGGTCCCTCACTGTCTTGGCTGAAATCACACGCAATCCTGGCATTGCCGTAGTTGTAGAGCAATCTAGTTCCCTGGGCATGCTGCACTGCCTCCCGCAGCAATTAAACAAGTTGTTAGCACTTCCGGTTTGGAAAAAACACATGTACATCGTAGAAAGCCCTGTTTGTCTGTTTGTTGTTTAACGTCGCACTCAGCAATATTGCAGCTATATGACGGCGGTCTGTAATTAATCGAGTCTGGACCAGACAATCCAGTGATTGACATCATGAGCATCGATCCACGCAATCGGGATACAAAGACATGCATCAACCAAGTCAGCGAGCCTGACTACCCGTTTGTCCCATATGCAGTGGGCCTTTTATACGGAACGTCCAATGCCTCTAACAACGTTAATAAGAAAGTGATATGCACTTTCGGTTTAATGGCATCACTTCCGGTTTGGGAAAAGACTTGCCTTTTTAAACAGGAAGTACCATGCCAACACTCAAACCTCAAAGGGGTTAGTAAACATCTTTTTCGTGTCATGGCCTTGAGGATTATATTGATATGACACATCAATGTGTCAATAACACATTTCCGAAGGCTATGCAGGCGATATACACGAGGTTATACCTCTGAGACTCAAGCCCCATGTGGTTTTCAAAACAGTGTGGCAGTGGCAGTCAAATTCAGGTAAAACGAAAATGCGAAATAATCAATTAAAAATATTGCAACGAAAAAAGTTGGTTTATTTCAAAACTTCACAAGACAACGAGATGATGATTATGGGTGCATTAAGGCATTTCTTCTTTAAAATATAATCTGAAACTGTGAATAACTAGGGTCACCACTTGTGTTAAATAAAATTGATCTAAACACTTAACAAAAGACAAGCCGACTTCTTGCAATGAAATTTCCCGTACGATTCTGTGAAATCGGCACATCGTATATCACCTATCAGCAGACAGGAGCCCAGTCTCTGAAAAAAAGTACCAAGTGTGTGGCTAAGCATACAAGATCGGCGGCGTTATGGCTATGAAGAAATGAAAGCCCATTAATACAACATTAAACTCTTCCAATACACGATATTATATGGGCGTCAACAATAGCGAGTATAGATCTACATTGTCCAAACACGACAGGATATCAAACAATACTGATAATCACAGTAACTACAAAACAGCGAACAGCGAACAAACGCATGGTCAAGACACATTCGTCACTACTCGCATATTTCAATATATGTTCCGGACAGGCGAGTGATCACAAATACACGAATGAATACTGAAATTCATTTCGATAGAAACAGGGATTTCAAAAGAATTCCCATGTCCTACCAAGTGCAAAATTTACATATTTTGATAAAATTTACAAAATTCATTGCTTCAAAATCATGCTGTCATTTTATGAAAACATTTGTTTTAAAACCTGAAGGCATGACAGTCGGAGCATATTATGATGAACATTATTTCAATTCAACCAGAACAGCTTGATAAAACTAAAAAAATAGATTATCAAAATCTGGGTTAAAGGCTTAATTTTCTCTTGGTTAATCATAGGCACTTGGAGCATAATAGTAAATGTGTGGGTGTTGGGTTAAACGCCGCCTTGGGCAGTATTTAAGATACTCTAAGGGTGATGAAGGCAGCAGACGTGGAAACACCCAAGAGCACGGCCATGACACTCACCAACCAGGGGACATAATCAGACTATACGGCACAATCTAATACCACATATACCCAAGGGCCTACGAGTGTGTTATTATATTAAAAACTTATACTACAAGTGTTACGCCGATGTCTAGTGAAACTGTTCAAACTGTTCGATACACGCCATAAATTGGCCATATTAGAACTGAAAGTGCCCGGATGTTGAAGTGACCGGAAGAGACAAAGGGAGATAAGTCATGTGAAATCAGGTAATTCAAAGGTGATTGAGCCCAGGTTAATCTCCATACACCGATGAACATGTAGCACGTGAGATCCGTCGCTAGTTTGACCCGCAAACAACACTATACAAATAGCATGGAAATATACAAAACGTTAAATGAGACAATTCCAGAAGATATCAAATATACACGGACACAAACCATATAAACAATCTTAACATGTTAGTATAAACATAACGAATAAATAACAAATAGGATTATATTGACATTTATACACAAACAAAACATTAACGAGTGATATTTCATGTAATATGACATCCATGACATCCATGACATTAAATCAACATATGAATACTTCGCACACAACTAACTACAACTTACTAAACGGCGATGATTGATTCTAATAAGGTGCATCGGTGCTTAGTTCATTTCGTAGCCAATAATATTATATGCGTAGTTAAACAATCAGCCCACTTTCTAAAATAAATATTAAAACGTTGACCCACTTACGAATGGAAATCTTCATTGTTTTCATATGCATTCATCTGAACGACCATAATTTACTTAACAATATAAGTATAGGTTTAATTTACAACGAAATTGTTATAAATAGTTGCGGCCTGAAACAGCCACCCTGGCCCATGCCAAGACTTGGTGTTTTTCAGCTAATACCTCAACTCTAAATGCTCTTCCCTCCCCGACATAATACCACTAAATTGGACAGTTTTTTGTTCAGTAGTGTATGGATATTTTTTCTTTGGTCTGTGGTCGAAATGAAAATTAGTTCTTTTATTGTAAAAATGTAGGTTGGTGGGGTAAGAAAAATAATCTCGATTTTCCATGTGAAATTTTTGTGACATTTGACAGGAATGTTAAAATTGTGTAAACGTGTGAACAGATAATTCCATACGCTGCTTGAAGTGCATGTGAACCTATGCGTGGTATTTGAGCGAACATTATGGGTCAGTGTATCATGTCTAGGTCAGGCAGGAAAACAATTTGTGATTTTTTATTCATAAGTGTTATAATCAAGTCTAAACTTGATCTGATTCAGTAGATCCGTAAACCAAGCAATAAAAATATAACGCCAAACGAGAAAAAAACTGAAGGCGACGTTATTCGCCGCTGATTCTGAGAGCATCGTTAAGCTTGAATTGTACGTTATCATCATTTTGTACTGAAATTGGGTTAGGGGCACCCAAAGAGCGAACGAGTTACTCCTCCCCAACGTGTTACTGTCCTGGTCTACCTTCCTGGTGGCAGCCTGCTTACTAACACATGGGTGACTGGGCCGAACTCACACCGACGTCACGCCGAGTTCCGACCAGCGGATACAGCTTTACCACTATGTCTAAACTCCCTGCACTGTTACTGGTGCTTCGCGGCGTGTTGGGTCTCCTAGTAAATATGTGCGTCGTTAAGCAGGGTTTCCATTATTATATGTTTAAGTTACGCCTAAAGCTGTTTCACATAAATTCATTTATAAAAGGATGAAGAGCTATATTTTAGAAAACAGGGTTATCTTATTTTTTACCATGGTGATAAAAAAACACGTACAATAGGTACGTGCCCTGTCGTGTGTTGTATATACTGTAAGCAAAGGAAACGCACCATATACCATATTTTTATGATACACCCTTCATTAATCTATCGGACCGCCTCCGTGGTCTAGTGGTAGAGCGTCCGCCCGGAGAGCGGAAGGTCCGGGTTTCGATCCCCGACCGCGTCATACCAAAAGACGTTAAAAAATGGTACTTGTTGTTACCCTGTCTGGCGCTCGGTATTAAGGGGCTAAAACAAGGAGTAGTCGGCTCGGAGTCAGTATACTGTGTCTGAGTCGGGTATTCATGTTAAACTGCGGCATGGTATCTCAGTGAGCTGGCACTATAAATCGGCATCAGTCCGGAATAGTACAAGCAGCCACACAAACACACACACGTGCACGTACGTCGCTATATAAGTGCAATAATCTTGGACGCGACGTTAAACCCCATTTCACCTCACCTCATTAATCTATCGTCACATCCTATTCCATGTAAAACTGGTTACCGGGCGTGAATTCTAAAGACGTGAAAATACTAGGAGACATAACTGAGACAAAATAGCCCGGTGTATGTACAATGCCTCTCTATATATGTAATTAAAATATGTTCAATGGTTAAATAATTAAAATATATAGTATGAGAAAGTGGTTTTGTTTAAGGCCGTATTTAACAGTATTTAAGTTACATTACGGCGTGTCAGCTTGATGTGGGAGTCGTGTGGGACTTTTACCACCCCAGGTGAAATCCACGAGCACGGATATGGTGCTGACAAACCAAGAAACATAACCAAGGCACTCTGGGATTCGAACCGAGCACCACATGTTTCTGGTATCCAAGGGGACGCAACTCTGCACCTTAGACGACTGGGCCCGTGCCTCCATATATAGGATGAATATGTTCCCCTTTACATGAATTAAGTATATATATTTTGTGACGCAGTAGACATTGTTCACAAATAGCATACACAACAAACAGAACTACTCATATTAATACAACCAGGTAGTTCTATGCAAACACAAGCATGTATACTACAGGAATGCGAAGAGATGGGCCGGCCATCTCAATCATGAGGTGTATACACTAAAACCTCGTTAATCCGGACGGTCTGTCCCCGTTGAAATCGTCCGGATTAACAGATGTCTGATTAAAGAATCATGGGTATTTGGATACGATCCTCTTATGTGTAGAGGCGTGACCAACAGTAATCGTCCGGAAAAGATGAGTTCCGGTGTGGCGGGGTTCGCTATAGTCGGTGTTAATACACTTACAAGCTACTCGAGCAATGTCAACAGTCAATAGGAATCATTTCCTTCTTCGTGCTTCTGTCAGAGTCACATTTCTGGGGGTATCGCCTTCTCCTTCGTTCACAACATAGGATTTTCTTGATAGCTATTTTAGCCTGGCGTCTGAAGTTAATGTTTAAGAAACTGTAGATTATTGGATTAATTGCGTTATTGATGAGAAAGAACTTTGAGAAGAGCTTGCTTGTGACGGCAGCCGTGGTGCTCTGAGTCTCTTCTATGCTTTTGTCCACAGATCGGATGATCATAATGACAATAGCAGGCAAATAGCTTATAAGGAAGGCTACGGTCACGGCGAAAAGTACGATTGTCGTACGACTTACGTGGAGTTTGGAGGCATACGCGGACAAGCTTGCGAAACGGGAGCGTACGGTTTGAGTAGCGGAGACAGTATGGCCGTTGCTGTTGTTGCAAGAGTCTTCGTCGCTCACGCTAGGGAGGTACTTGACTCGCATCTTCTTCCTCTCATGGACTTCCTCTGTCGGTTTGGAGATTTGGTCTCCGATCACCATTTTCTGTCGGCTTCGTATCTCCATCCAGATCCTAATGTACAGGACCGTTAGGATCAGAAGAAATGCCACGAAGATAAACATCAGAACGCCGTAATAGACTATCTGGAACACCTTGTTTTTGTAGTCTTTGTCGATGGAGCAGTCGTAGCCCATGATGTTCGTGTTGGGGATGATGGGGTGGCTGATGCCGAAGATGACTGCTGCGGGTGCCGAAAGAACAAGGGCCATAACCGCTGCAAGAATACACAGCATCTTGATCTTAAACAAGCTGATCACCATCAGCGGACGGCAGATTTTGAAGTAACGATCAAAGGCTATTTCAAGCAAGACACACGCAGACCCATATATCGAAAACGTCTCCGCGAACCGGAAGATCTTGCATCCGGATGAACTGTAGAAGGCGTACGGGTAGCGCAGGTCGTAGATCTCAGTGGGCATCCCCACCAAGCAGGCGACAAGGTCGAATATGGCCATGGTCAGGATAAAGTAATTGGAAGATGTCTTCTTGAAGCGACGTCGATAGACGTAGACGACTAAGCCGTTGCCAAAGACGCCGGTGACCATGAGCATGGCAACGTAGATCATCACCGGGATGTACTGGAGTGCATGCCTGTCGTTCTCCTGCAGCAATAGGTCGTGATCCACTTCGGTCAAGGACGAATTGCATACGGGTTCTGTGCAGTTGACCATAGGCGGTGATAGGGACATCTTACTGGCGTTCATCATCTGCAAAATACGATTAATAATAATAATAATAATAATAATGAGTCAGGATCACCCAAACCTTCTTTACTGCATTTTAGATTTCAATAAAGAAACAAGTAAATAAATAAATAAATAAATAAATAATCATCATCATCATCATCATCATCATCATCATCATCATCATCATCATCATCATTTCGTCAGCGATAGGGATTTATTCTGTCCGAAATCAAACATCCTCGAATAATAAATAGTAATAAAGTGACAGAAGTGACAGAATATTGTACGTGTATTTCTGAGATCATATATTTTTATTATAACCAACGTGAAATAGACGAGGATATGTAAACTGCTGGTCAAAAGAAAGTATCAACTTCTAATTTGGATTTGACCAAACAATTACAAACGTTACTAGGCTGAAAACAGTGGTCTGTCAAATGATGCATGTGAGATCCTCTATACCAGAGTCAACTTCATCACCACCTGATAACAATTTCGTTTAGCCAGCATAAAAAAAACATGGATGTGTAGTTTCTTTTTCCCGAGACCCCGGCCTATTGCCGTATAAAATATCAGTCAGAATTAATACTGTTGATCGGGTGTCTTGGTCTATCTCACAGTCCCTGAACCAGATTATTTTTTCTTTCGCCTAGCCCTTACCGTAATGCTACAGTACTAACTAAACACATTACACCCGTCCTGAAAGAGCTGCACTGGCTACCTGTGAGACTCAGGATCGTGTTCAAGCTGATCATGTTTGTCTACAAATCGATCCATGGGCTATCCCCAGTATACCTCCAGGAACTCACTGCCCTTTACCAACCTGGCCGAACACTGAGATCTGCAAACAAACTACAGCTTGCTGTTCCACCAACCAGCAGAACAACATATGGCGACAGAACCTTCCGAAAAGCAGGTGCAACTCTATGGAATGCACTGCCCATTGATGTCAGGGGATCTGAAGATGTCAACACCTTTAGATCAAAACTTAAGACCATCCTCTTCAAAAGAGCATACGACTGAGCGCTCTTGAGCAGGCAGTTGTCTGGATAAGTAGCGCTATATAAATGCGTAATTTAATTTTAATAATTTAACTGAAGCAAGTCGAGACGTGCTATATATTCCACATTCCAACAAGAAACGCCTTTCCATGATGGAAACTATGACAACTGCAGTTAGATATGTGGTGCGCTTTCAGTACCTGGGAGGGGGGGTGGGGGTGGGGGGGTGGGGGGGTGGGGGGTGGGGGGGTTGCAGGGGCACGCAGTCAACCCTTTTTCTTCTGAACATTTATACGTGTGATTGACAAAGCGTGAACGTTAATACAATATGCAACTAAATTATTTGGTGACATGTTTTCATTAATTAATTTCATCAATTAATACATTCGACCAAATGCAACTTCATCTACCAACATTGCTTTTTTACTGTATTTTCTGGAAGAAATTATTTTTGTTTTAAAACCCCATCTCCCAAAAGTTAACAATGTAGACAATCAAAGATGCATGAATATGAAATATAATTAACAGCAGAGTATTGTTTTTTCCTTCTTATCTAACGGAATGGCGATATACATATTTTTACCATCACAGATTTGGAAGCGACTTCAAGATGTGTCGCTATATGGCCGCAATATTAGGCTGAAAAAAACCCATTTGTTTCTCGAGCATTGGCGTCACTTTAAATCATTTAATTTTAATTGCTTGTAAAAAATAGTTTTTAAATTTCCCGCGTCATATAAATCACACTCTATTATCCATAAAATAACTGGCTTGACAACTGACATTGTGCTACAGCGACGAGTTCAATGAGTGCTTGTTGGTTTTCGGGGTGGGGAAACTAAAACGTGTTCCACCTATATCATCACATATATTTTCAAAAATATATAAATTTTAAAAATCCTACAACCCTCCTCACTTTTGAGGAAAATATTATTTTGTTTACTTTATTTTATTATGCAGTCTAATACTGGTACCATGTTCGTTCGGGCACGAGCGCAAAGAGAAAATATTCAGATATTTCAGTCTTCGGAAATAATATTCTTTTACTTAACCTTTTTGGAGTTGTAGCTTCAAAAATAAAAGAGAGATGACTTCTTTGAATTAACACCAAACTGGCGGTGAGGTTCCTCGTTATGTGTGAAAGGATTACAGAGCATAGGTAAAAGTACTTCTATACACATTTAATAATAAAATGTACAAAACAGAAGGCTTACGATCTTGAAGCCAATCTCATTAAAATCATATCTTAGTTCTCGCTATCGCTAAACAAAGCTTTGTTGACCGGCAGCGAGAACGTAGATCTGATTTTAATAAGATTGTCTTGAAACCATCGAAACAGTGATCTTTGGTTCTCAAATTGAGAAAATAATTTTACATGTGGAGCCACCCCTTAAACCTACAATGGGTTTTATTGTACAAAAGTCTGTAAAAAAAAAAAATATCTGTAAAATTAGTTGACATTAAACGCCGCCGAGATAGGCTTAGGTGAGTGAGTTAGTTTTACCGCCGCTTAGAACGGTATTTCAGTTATAGCATAGCGTATCAGTTTACTGTGGCAGGAAAGCAACGAGTGAGTGAGTGAGTATGGTTTTACGCCGCTTTTAGCAATATTCCAGCAATATCACGGCGAGGGACACCAGAAATGGGCTTCACACATTGTACCAATGTCGGGAATCGAACCTGGGTCTTCGGCGTGACGAGCGAACGCTTTAACCACTAGGCTACCCGACCGCCCCAGGAAAGCAACGAAGTGATGCGGGTCTCTGATATGTTTTGGGCCGACCATGTAAATATAAACTGTTATATACATACCGGTTACAGCAGGATTTAGCGTGTGTGGGGCAGTCCACGAAGTATATGGAAAACAGCTAGTTATTTACTAACGGGAAAACGACACAAGCTTCGACACTGTCCACAGGTCATGTATCGAGTGATGGCGTAGACCGATGTTGATTTCAGTTCGAAGAAATAGTGTTGAAATATGACTCATTGTTGCCGAGGAGATTCGATTGGTCAGAATTATCTGCGTTGTTAATGACAGTTTCTAACTTCCTGGTGGTATGGGAGGTTAATTTACTCATCTGTCGTTACTGTCATGAAATTGTTGATGTTTTATTATTTTTCATTATTAACTTAATTGAAGTAATTGTTGTAATTATATTTATAATATAATACAATGTAATTATGTTAATAATATACATATACAATGTTACACGAGTGAGTGAGTGAGTATGGTTCTACGCCGCTTTTAGCAATATTCCAGCAATATCACGGTTGGGGGCACCGGAAAATTGGCTTCACACATTGTACCCATATGGGGAATTGAACCCGGGTCTTCGGTGTGACGAGCGAACGCTTTACCAACTAGGCTACCCCACCGCCCCCAATGCTTTACGAGGAACCCTGAGTGAAATGAGGAAAAAGCAGTGGGGGCAGCTGGAACCAGTTGTATGGTTGTTGTTTTACGCCGCACTCAGCACAATTCCAGTTTCATGACGGCGGTCCGTCATAAATCGAGTCTGGTTCAAACAAACCAGTGATTGATATCATGACAGGCAATCAACTCGACCACCGAGCCGGACAACCTGATATATCTAGTCGCCCTTGCAACAAGCATAGGGTGGGGACCAAACCTAACCAGGGATCATCACGAGGGCTATTAGGGTGCACATGAGTCAGTATGTGGGGTTGGGTGGGGTGGGGTGAAGGTGTGGGGAGGGGAGATGGTGGTGGGTGGAAGTTGACACAATAGTCACCCACTCGTTCCATATGTGTATACACTTTCATGCATCTTTTTAATTTGTCACACTTCAGAAACCTTTTAATGTTTCTTTTTATGGTTTTACGTAGATATGTATATAGGTCCCGTTCTTGTAAATATGTAGGATTTCAACCGTTTCTACCTGTTCGTGTCCATTTCGGATTTGTATCGCTCTTTCATCGAACCTGTTCGGTTGAATACGTTTTAGGCACTTGACTTAACTTGATCTAACCGAAATACTTAGAAACAAGAATAGCAACCAAACCACGACCTGAAACTGAACTTGTTTGAAATTCATATGAAATTTATTTTTTTTTAAAATAACATCGACTGTTCATAAATTGATCAAAACTCCCGTGTACTCCAAAAGAAAGACTTTTAAGGTTGTTGTTGATCGTAACAAAGTCTACACAATATATATGTATATCAAAGTGCATCTTATAGGCAAGATTTCCCCGATGTTGGTAGATGTACGGATGTCATCAGAAAACATCTGACTGTATGACAACCGACACGTGAAGTCCGAGTGTTGATGGTGAATCACTCCATAGTTTCACAACGTACAGGGGGCACGGGTGGCCCAGTCGTCTAAGGCGCCGCGATTCGCTGTGCAGAATTGCGTCCCTTGGGCACGCCAGAAACCTATGATTGTGGGTTCGAATCCCGGTTCGCCCCGATTATGTTTCTAGGTTTGTCAGCAACATACCCGTGCTCGTGGGTTTTACCGAAGTGGTAAACGTCAAAGACCTGAATCACTTCAGGCTTTCCTCCCACATTAAGCTTGCACGCCGCGATATAACTGGAATACTGTTAAAAGCGGACTTAAACCCAACTCACTCACTCACTCACAGCATACATTGTTGGCGGTGAACGGTATGCCGACTGCTTCACAATATCATTACTGTTATTACAAAGTACACATACAAATTTGTCAGTACAGAGAGAGTGAGCTTCGTCGCTTCTTTAAACAATATTCCAGTAATATCACGGGGGATGACAAAGAGAATAGTCTCACACCTTGTGCCCATGTGGAGAAACAAACCGGTCCTTAGGAGTGACGAGCGAACGCTTTAATTACTGTATTTCCCCATTAGTATTGCCCTTATCGACACATTTTCACGTCCAATATTCCCTGTCTAAACAATTAAATGTTTCTGACGTTTCTCCATTTTCAATTTAGTTTTTTTAAACATTTGTTTTAAATAACACCGTATAGGTCAGCCATTACGGTCGGATGTTCATGCGGCGAAACGTCCAAA